TTTCGAAAGGCCATTTTCTATGGATTTTGAAGGCTACTGATCACGGTTTCGGCCTGAGGCTATTCTTCAACGTCGATTAAGACCATTAAGAACTGATTTGGGCGAATTTCTTCCGGGTCCATTTTTGGCAGATTGCAAAGGGGTACCATCACAGATTTCGGGCAATTTTTCCGAATTGCCATTTTCTCTCTATTTTGGAGGCTACAGATCACGGATTCAGCCCAAGGCTATTCTCCACATATAATGCAGTCTATTGATCCAATTCTCCAAGGATGATGAAGCCCATTAAGCACCGATTTGGGCGAATTTATTTTCGGATGACATTATCGTAATCTCTTGGGGGATTTTTTTCGAAATGCCATTTTCCATGGATTTTGAAGGCTACTGATCACGGATTCGGCCTGAGGCTATTCTTCAACGTTGATTAAGTCCATTAAGGACCGATTTGGGCGAATTTCTTCCGGGTCCATTTTTGGCAGATTCCAAAGGGGTACCATCACAGATTTCATGCGATTTTTACGAAATGCCATTTTCTCTCTATTTTGGACGCTACAGATCACGGATTCAGCCCGAGGCTATTCTCCACATATAATGAAGTCTATTGATCCAATTCTCCAAGGATGATGAAGCCCATTAAGCACCTATTTGGTCGAATTTATTTTCGGATGGCATTATCGTAATATCTTAGGGGATTTTTTCGAAAGGCCATTTTCCATGGATTTTGAAGGCTACTGATCACGGATTCGGCCTGAGGCTATTCTTCAACGTCGATTAAGTCCATTAAGGACCGATTTGGGCTTATTTCTTCCGGGTCCATTTTTGGCAGATTGCAAAGGGGTACCATCACATATTTCGGGCAATTTTTCCGAAATGCCATATTCTCTCTATTTTGGAGGCTACAGATCGCGGATTCAGACCGAGGCTATTCTCCACATATAATGAAGTCTATTGATCCATTCTCCAAGGATGATGAAGCCCATTAAGCACCGATTTGGGAGAATTTATTTTCGGATGGCATTATCGTAATATCTTGGGCGATTTCTTTCCAAAGGCCATTTTCCATGGATTTTGAAGGTTACTGAACACGGATTCGGCCTGAGGCTATTCTTCAACATCGATTAAGTCCATTAAGGACTGATTTGGGCGGCTTTCTTCCTGGTCCATTTTTGGCAGATTGCAAAGGGGTACAATCACAGATTTCGGGCGATTTTTCCGAAATGCCATTTTCTTTCTATTTTGGAGGCTACAGATCGCGGATTCAGCCCGAGGCTATTCTCCACATATAATGATATCTATTGATCCAATTCTCCAAGGATGATGAAGCCCATTAAGCACCGATTTGGACGAATTTAATTTCGGATGGCATTATCGTAATATCTTGGGGGATTTTTTTTTGAAAGGCCATTTTCCATTGATTTTGAAGGCTACTGATCACGGATTCGGCCTGAGGCTATTCTTCAACGTCGATTAAGTCCATTAAGGACCGATTTGGGCTGATTTCTTCCGGTTACATTTTTGGCAGATTGCAAAGGAGTACCATCACAGATTTCGGGCGATTTTTCCGAAATGCCATATTATCTCCATTTTGGAGGCTACAGATCGCGGATTCAGACCGAAGCTATTCTCCACATATAATGAAGTCTATTGATCCAATTCTCCAAGGATGATGAAGCCCATTAAACACCGATTTGGGCGAATTTATTTTCGGATGGCATTATCGTAATCTCTTGGGGAATTTTTTTCGAAATGCCATTGTCCATGGATTTTGAAGGCTACTGATCACGGATTCGGCCTCAGGCTATTCTTCAACGTCGATAAAGACAATTAAGGACCGATTTGGGCGGTTTTCTTCCGGGTCCTTTTTCGGCTGATTGCAAAGGGGTACCCATCACAGATTTCGGGCGATTTTTCTGAAATGCCATTTTCTCTCTATTTTGGAGGCTACAGATCACGGATTCAGCCCGAGGCTATTCTCCACATATAATGGAGTCTATTGATCCAATTCTCCAAGGACGATGAAGCCCAATAAGCACCGATTTGGGCGAATTTATTTTCGGATGGCGTTATCGTAATATCTTGGGGGATTTCTTTCGAAAGACCATTTTCCATGGATTTTGAAGGCTACTGATCACGGATTCGGCCTGAGGCTATTCTTCAACGTCGATTAAGTCCATTAAGGAACGATTTGGGCGGATTTCTTCCGGGTCCATTTTTGGCAGATTTCAAAGGGGTACGATCACAGATTTCAGGCGATTTTTTCGAAATGCCATTTTCTCTCTATTTTGGAGGCTACAGATCGCGGATTCAGCCCGAGGCTATTGTCTACATATAATGAAGTCTATTGATCCAATTCTCCAAGGATGATGAAGCCTATTAAGCACCAATTTGGGCGAATTTATTTTCGGATGGAATTATCGTAATATCTTGGGATTTTTTTTTTCCAAAAGGCCATTTTCCATGGATTTTGAAGGCTACTGATCACGTATTCGGCCTGTGGCTATTCTTCAACGTCGATTAAGTCCTTTAAGGACCGATTTGGGCTGATTTCTTCCGGGTCCATTTTTGGCAGATTGCAAAGGGGTACCATCACAGATTTCGGGCGATTTTTCCGAAATGCCATTTTCTCTCTATTTTGGAGGCTACAGATCGCGGATTCAGCCCGAGGCTATTGTCTACATATAATGAAGTCTATTGATCCAATTCTCCAAGGATGATGAAGCCCATTAAGCACCGATTTGGGCGAAATTATTTTCGGATGGCATTATCGTAATATCTTGGACGATTTCTTTCGAAAGGCCATTTTCCATGGATTTTGAATGCTACTGATCACGGATTCGGCCTGAGGCTATTCTTCAACGTCGATTAAGTCCATTAAGGACCGATTTGGGCGGATTTCTTCCGGGTCCATTTTTGGCAGATTGCAAAGGGGTACGATCACAAATTTCGGGCGATTTTTCCGAAATGCTATTCTCCACCAATAATGAAGTCTATTGATTCTATTCTCGATGGATGATGAGTCCAATAAGCACCGATTTGGGCGAATTTATTTGCGGATGGCAATTTCGTAATTTTTTGTGCGATGAAAGACCATTTTCTTTGGATTTTGAAGGCTACAGATACCGAATTCACCCTGAGGCTATTATTCAACGACGATTAAGTCTGTTAAGCACCGATTTGGGAGAATTTATTCTGTGTCAATTTTTTGCAGATTCCAAAAGGGTACTTTCACAGATTTCGGGCGATTTTTCCGAAATGCCATTTTCTTTCGATTCTAGAGGCTACAGATCAGGAAATCAGGCAGAGGCTATCCTCCACCGAGAATGAAGTCTATTGATCCTATTCTCGACGGGTGATATGTCCATTAAGCACCGATTTGAGCCAATTTATTTTTGTATGACATTTTTATAATTTTTTGGGCGACGAAAGACCATTTTCTTTTGATTTTGAAGGTTACAGATCACTGATTCGGCCTGAGGCTATTCTTCAACGATGATTAAGTCCATTAAGCACCGATTAGGGCGGATTTATTCCGGATCAATTTTTGTCATATTCCGAAGGGGTACCACAACAGATTTCAGGCGATTTTCCCGAAATGTCACTTTCTGCCGATTCATGAGGCTACATATCACGAAACTAGGCTGAGGCTATTCTCCACCGATAATTAATTCTATTGAACCTATTCTCGACGGATGATAAGTCCATTAAGCACCGATTTCGGCCAATTTATTTTCGGATGACATTTTCATAATTTTTAGCGCGACGAAAGGCCATTTTCTTTGGATTTTGAAGGCTACATATCACGGATTTGCCCTGAGGCTATTCTTCATCGACGATTAAGTCCATTAAGCACCGATTTGGGAGGATTTATTCCGGGTCAATTTTTGGCAGATTCCAAAGGGGTACCATCACGGATTTTGGGCGATTTTTTCGAAATGTCATTTTCTTTTGATTCTGGAGGCTACAGATCACAGGATTTGGCCAAGGCTATTCTCCACTGATAATGAAGTCTATTATCCTATTGTCGAAAAATTATAAGTCCATTAAGCACCGATTTGTGCCAATTTATTTTCATAATTTTTTGGGCGAAGGCCATTTTCTTTGGTTTTGAAAGCTACAGATCACGGATTTGTCCTGAGGCTATTCTTCAACAATGATTAAGTCCATTAAGCACCGATTTAGGCGGATTTCTTTCGTGACAATTTTTGGCAGATTCCAAAGGGTACCACCACAAATTTCGGCAGATTTTTCCGAGATGTCATTTTCTTTCGATTCTGGAGGCTAAAGATTTCGAAATCAAGCGGAGACTATTCTCCACCGATAATGAAGTCTATGGATCCTATTCTCGACGGATGAAAAGTCCACTGAGCACCGATTTGGGCCAATTTATTTTCGGATGACATTTTCATAATTGTTTGGGCGACGAAAAGCTAATTTCTTTGGATTTTGAAGGCTACAAATCACGGATTCTGTCTGAGGCTATTCTTCAATGATTATTAAGTCCATTTAAGCACCGATTTGGACAGATTTATTCCGGGTCAATTTTTGGCGTATTCCAAAGGGGTATCGGTTGATGATGGTGGCATTTGTCGATCGATGGTCAAATCGCAAGGCTATGCATGTAGAGGTGGCAATTGGATCGGATTTGTGGATTTGTGGATTGGATTGGTGGATCCATGGATCAAATGGATTGGTGGATTGATCCATGAATCCAAATGACATCAAAGGCTTGGACCAGAATGTAAAATTTGAAAAGTTTAGGTACTAAAATGTCATAATGAAAATTTTAAGGTACCAAAACGTAATTTTCCAATAATATTTTTCGATTAAAAATATAAATTTTAGGTACCAAAATGTAAAATATAAAATATATAGGTACCAAATCAGAGGTGGCAATTTTTCAGCAGCTGATGAAATCCGACGATCCTCAAGTTTCTCTTGACGGGCTCGTCGAATTTTTCAGCAACGAGACTCACACCATTCAAATCGGTGGTTTTATTGGTTTCCCCTTTATTCGATCAAGATTCAAGACTAGAGCAATAACACGCACCACTTTCACAAATCCATTAACAATAACAAGAGTTTGAAAACAATACATTATTCATTCGTTAATCAAAACGGAGACAACATAGCTTTGATCTGACAGAACAGAAACAATCAAGTCGGGTTCCTGTGAGACTACACCGTCACTGGAACGCCCTTTCCACATTCCTTATGGGCTGATTTCAGGATCCAACCGATTATGCAAACGACAACGGATCCCGACGCAACAAAGAAAAATACGTCACCCGCAATGAACAACGGTTCGACCCACCACGGAATCGGAGCATCATCTTCATCTCGTAGTACTGGTGTCTCCGATCCAGTCGGCGGCGGCGGAAGAGGCTTCCCCACCGCCTCAATCAATGACCCATCATTACTACTACTTAGTTTCGCATAAGGGTTGTCGTTGTCTTGGGTTGCAACAGCAGCAGCTCGAGAAGGACAAGAAGAAGAAGAAGAACAGAGGATCCATATAGCAGCCCAAATCAGCGCATAGGTAACCTAAAAGCCCCAAAATTTCACGCAAGGGAATCCGAAAAGATAGCATCAGAGAGAAAAAAAACTTGAATCTCAAATTACAGATTAATTATGTACCCAAATTACCTTTTTCGAGTCACCACCAGCAGCCATGGCAGAGGAGTTGATGAACAGAGAGCTTAATCAGGGCGTCGTTTCGTTCTATACAGAGTCAAGTGAGGTGAAGATGGGCATTCGTAATTTGCGTTGATATAATGGAGATGAAAGGTGGATCACTATTATTAGAAGATGTTTACTTTTGAAAGTAGAAAAGCCAATTTGCAGAGCTCTTCTTCCGTTTCTGGGAAAAAGGTAAAGCGAAGGAGTGGTTTCATACGCGGAGGACACTTTGATGATTTTGGACGGTTGTTGAGAATTGAGCATAAGCGGGAACTGGAATCTTACATGAGTGTTTGTGGGGTTTTTGGGAAGTTTTCGCCGTCGGCGAGGAATACAGACGAACAACCAGCCGCCGGGAAGAGCGCCGACGACGAAGAGTCCATTTTACGCGCGGAAACCCTTTACGTTTGCTTTTTCCCGCGCGTTCAAAAAGGCAACGGGGTTAAGGCTTTTAGGTTTCTTATCTCCGGGCCAGGCCCATGAAAGCGTTTTCTTGATTTTTTTTTGTTGCGGCCCAATTTGTCTAGCATAAAAGTAATTTTCTTCTAAACGCGTCGCTCAAATACTCCCAATCTTATTCATTAAATAACTCGAGAAATAGAAATTCTATCTAATCAAAATATGATTAATAGTTCAAAGCATGACACTGAGACGTGAATACATGCTCTCCGATAGCTAAAGAATGCCCAAATGATGCTAAAAAGCCACCAACAAAATTGCTTTTCCTAGCGTCAAATACATTTTTTTTAAATACACGATAAAATAATATGAGATTGGTACATCCGTTTGTGTTCGTCTTTTCATGAGAACATAAAAATTCATAAGGTCAAATAAACGTGTAGGCGAAGAGAATTCAAGATGATAGCTAAGAGGCTTGACAAATTAAGCTAACTACTGATCACACAAATCTTCCACTTTATGTAGAAACTTTGTGTTTTGCGCATCAATGTAGCATCTTTATTCTTTAATGAATCTACTGGTTTCGTTTTAAATGCTAAACAATAAATGTATTGTGCATAAAAAAAAAAGATTTAAGAGATTAGGAATTGAAAAATCATGAGCATCATTGACAATAAGAATTTTCAAGATATGTCTCATGTGTGTATTATGAGTAGTAGAATTTGGCACCCAAAATTTAAAGAGCAAGGAAGTTGGATTGAGAAGGAATTGAAGAAATTATAGGGTTAGGTATAGAACGTGGAAGAAGATAGCTAGAGAAAACATCATGACATTGCTTAGTGACTTCCTTGACTAATTACACGAGTTAAATGGTCAGTCAAAACACAAATATCAATTTGGTCACGTAGGTCATCTATATGTGTCATATTAAGTTCTGGTCTTATTATTTTGTTGTTAGTACTCATTTTATTTCACATTTTTATCCTTAGCAATATGCACCATTATAGTATTACAGCTGATGTGGCCAATGTGATACATATTAATCATATGGAGTAGCTAATTGATATAGAATCTGAACAATCTACAACTCCTTTTTTTTTGGATAAGAACAAAGCTTGGTTTGGACTACAAAACATAGCTAAATGACTGAACAACATATAACCAAAATGAACACTTTGGCCACAGTGACCTTGTTTGAATTATGTCTTCCCGCTTCCTTCCAAGCGAGCCGAGTTCGAACCTAACTAACAAAGCGAATCCAAACGACTGACGACATCTCCTGTGTGCGTGGTAGCTGGCGGGGATTCTCGTAATCGTGGCCATGGATAAATCATCAACTGAAACGCATATGTATGGAGACACACAAGGCACAAGCAACACCTCGAGATGCTCACTCACATGCTATGATCTTGATCTTACGTGGGAGTCGGAATAGCGAGTAAAGGTTTTGCCTTATGCAAAGTTATCCCGAACTTTTCTTCCATATCCACGTATTTTGGTTCAACTCCATTTGGCAGCTTCCAATCAAACCAATGAATCAACGAACCTAACATCATATGCAACATTCTATGTGCTAACAACATTCCGGGACATCTCCTTCTTCCCGCACCAAAAGGAATCAACTCAAAGTCGTGCCCCTTAGCGTCAATCTTGGAATCCATGAATCTTTCTGGCAAGAACGAGTTGGGATCGTTCCATGTCGCCGGATCTCGACCTATAGCACACAGATTGACTAGCACTTGCGCACCTTTGGGCACGATGAAACCATCGATTTCCACATCGGCTCCTGCTTTACGGGGAAGGAGTAAGGGGACAGGCGGGTGCAGTCTGAAAGTCTCTTTCACGATTGCTTGCAGATACGGTAATCGAGAAATGTCTGATTCCTCGAGATGATTGTCTTTTCCTATCGCTTGATCCAATTCTTCCTTGGCTTTAACTAGTACGCTAGGATTACGGAGGAGCTCTGCCATTGCCCATTCTAGTGTGGTCGAAGTTGTATCGGTTCCGGCAACAAATAGATCCTGATAGCTCGAACCGATCCGAGTGAGTAAAGAAACTATAGAGAAAAAAATAGTAAACATTCAATGTTTCTGTTTTATAGTTGTAAGTTCCCCTGACTCACCAAGAACAAGTATTTGATGCTCTGTGGATCCATGTGAGCCTCTTCCCGACTATCGCCATCCCCATTGATGGCCAGCAGCGTCTCGAGCATGTCGTTCGTCGAGATGTAGCTTTCCGATTTCTGCTCCCGCAACCGTTCGTCGATTAACCACTCAAAAAGATTCAAAACCTTGTCGAAATGACTCCCGATCCGCCTCTGTATCCCCTGCAGGTCAAACCTGGCCAAAACAGGGAAGAAGTCTCCCAAATTGGGCTTCGCAGCCTCTTCAATCATCCCCCTCGCAAGCTCCTTAAACTGTCTGGCGGCCTCCGACCGTTCCTCGTCCGCAAGATCCATGGAAAGAATGGTCGCCGACAGAGCGTTCAGTGCGGCCCTGAACACCACCCTCCCGACGTCCACCACGGGCCTCTCAGAGGCATTTCGTCGAACACTCTCCACGAGCTCAGCGATCTTCGCCCTCCGGAGTCCCTCGTTCGAATCCAACTTCTGGGTCGTGAAGATGTGCGAGTTGCACACCTTCCTGAGGTTCCTCCACCTGGATTCCACGGGGAGCTGCGTGACGGAGAATTTATGGATGTCGGCGGCCTGCAAGGCGATGGCGACGTGGCGATTGGAGAGGACTCTGTCGTGGTTCTGGAGAATCTCCTTGGCTGCAGCTGGGGAAGAAGCCACGATCGTGGTGATTTGGCCCAGCTTGAGGCTCATCAAGGGACCATGAATCCTGGCGAGATCGGCCAGCGATTTTTGTGGGTTGAAGCCTAGGTTGTGGAGGTTGCCGATTATTGGCAGCCTGGCGGGACCCGGCGGGAGTTTGGCCGCCGGAGCTTTACTTGCCAGCAGGAATCGGAGGACGGTGATGGTGAAGATGAGGCAGAGTAAGCAATTCAGTACGAAGAGGAAGAACTCCATTTTCTGTGGCTGCAAACGGTCTGGAAAATTCCCTGGTTGCTATATATTGATTTGATTGTGAATTGTGATCGTGGATGGAAGTAGACTATTCAAAGAATAGTTACGTGGCCCATTTTGCTCTGCATAACAGTGACAGTGGACTAGTTTCCCTTCCAAATGGGGTAACAAGACCGCCGTCTACAACAGAGAATACATATTTATGGTTGTTGTGGTGTTGAAACGATTAATTGTTGGTATTTGGTTTTACATTTGTATTCATTTGTTTCTCGCTCGAACTCAAATAGAAAAATCACAGAGAAATATTCTAATATGGGTTATCATTCATTAAGCCTTTTTTTTTGCTGTTGTGCTGAATCAACCTCTTTCGTATTTGGTTTTGCATTCTTACTCATCTCTATGCTTTCTTCCGTCTTTTTCCTCTTTGTTAAATTCCATTTTAAACCCAGAAACTTAGTAAACTCTCTAATTAATAGTTGTTGAGTTCCAAATATGTAGCTTTTCGTTTGCTAATTCATGATTTCATTGGTCAGCGAATGCAAATTACTACGAACCCCTCCCACAATGATTTTTTTTTGCCGTCCTTTGAGTTACGTGCTACTAATTCTATTACAACTTCTCTGGCCAACGAGTGAAAATTACTACAAACCTCTACCACAATGATTTTTCTTGTCGTTCTTAGAGTTACGCCATATGAGTTACATATCTAAGTATTATAATTTACAATAAACTTTCAATGTACTTTCATATTCTGAATAAATTATAAAATACACTCGGCTTATTTTGCGCAATAAATCTATATATTATACTAGTCAATCATTCTTAAACTGATCACATGTTCAATTCCAAAACTTGTTCTTGAGAAGCAAGTAAACCCATGGATATGAATATGATAGAATAGTGGGAATAAAGGTAGCCCGTAATTAAGTTTAATCGTTAGGTTTTTAAAATAATTGGAAATAAGAAATAACATTTTATCCCAAGATTTGTGTAAAATATAATGATAAATGAGTTGTAATCTAACAGAAAATTTATTTACTAATTATAGTCATCTCCCATATTCAAATCACACACGCTAACACTTATATATACTTCTTTTACTCATACACAAACTACTACAAGAAGCTGTATAAAGCCAAATTTTAGGCGATGTCCCGAGAAACTCCCAAACCCCTTAGCCTGCCCCTGAATTCGGGTCGGGTGGATTGGTTACTCGTGAATTGATCAGTAAATGGGTTGATAAAGTCACTTCATATTGATTGTTAATTCTGTAGTTAACTCGAGTCATTAGCAAGTGGATAGATTAATAGGGCCGAGACAAATTTTAACAATATTAGAACCAAGAAGTATCAAATGAGCGTGTTGCATTGAGTTAGGACGTGTTTGATTAGATTAGCAGTAAGTTAAATTTTGACTCAATTAGATTGCCAATCCATCGATTTTTGAACCAATAATATTATGGGCTAATTTTTTTGGTTAAGAAGAAACAAATCATTAGTATTTGGACAACTCAAATTATGAGGTGAAGAAGAAAACCAATTTACCCGATGAGACCACATTTCAATCAACTCTACCAATGGAAATATGAATTGCAATGAACGGAAGCCTTTGCAAGTTGTAAACACAGACAAATCATATTCACACTCCTGTTAGTGTGTGGTATATGATCCACGATTAAACCTCTTCCAACATCTCGAGTTATTGGGATCAACTAGTTCTTGACATGATATTAGAGCCTTATGTGACCGAGCGGTCTTGTTTTCGAATCCCGGTTACCCCATTTGTGAATCACATGTATTCCGTGTTCAGAACATGTGCAAACGAAAGCCCCTTATAAGTTGACTTTCCACGATTGAACCTCTCCCAACAACTCGAGTTATTGGGATCAACTGGCCATCTATGTAGATGTTACCGCCAAAATTACTAAACCACAGGTTCCCACCTTTGTCTAGACATAAGAGATGTCACTATCACAATTCACTTCTCTATTTTATACCATGTATGAACAAGTTTGCTACTGGTTTGTCTTCTCCCAACATTAACCTTCCCCTTGCTGTTTCCTTCCACATCAACATCACAATAAATTCCCACGACATTGAAGAGATTCCTTAGAAATCTTTGGCTTCTAAATTGTCTCCACCATCATAAAATACCAAGTTTGAGGCCTTGGAAATGCAGACTTTGGTATGGATACATGATACTGTAATTAATTAATTAAAATCCTTTTGCTGATCCTTCATATCACTCTTTTGTTTGTATCATGTTCGAGGAGGTGACTATATAAGATAAAGATGGTTTAGCAAGTTTATTATCAAATTCATAAGGTTGTTCATTGGTCATTATTACAGGGTAATCGAAATATGGCCAGGACTTCTGCAGTTTCAGTTCTGGTGGTTCTGTTGTTATCGGCAGCTTCATGTTTTGCAGCAAGAACTAAGCTTTCTATAGGCAGCAGTGAGGGTACGAAATCTGTGGCTCATTGGGTTGATGATGGTGGAATTTGTCGATCGATGGTCGAATCGCAAGGCTATGCATGTGAAGAACATCAGGTAAACGACTTGTTTCCTCTATAGTTTTTCCTCAAATGAACTCAACTATGCAAATTATCAACAATTGATGGCTGAAAATTCTCTGAGATTCTAAATTGTGCTTTTGGTTTGCTGATATTTTTTTCCAGGTGACAACAGAAGATGGTTACATACTTGGGATTCAGAGAATGCAAGTAGCTAAGTCTGGCAAGAAAGCATATAAACCACCAATCCTTATCCAACACGGATTATTCAGTGTTAGCAGAACCTTTCCAAACTTTGTTCAAATTGATTTAACATAATACTTATATCACCAAGAAATTTTCTTACTGCTGTAAATTTCAATGGCAGGATGGTGCAACATGGATGCTTAATTCCCCTGCTGAATCTCTGCCATTCTTGTTGGTCGACGATGGTTACGATGTTTGGATTGCTAACACTCGTGGGACGATACACAGCCAAGGACACACATCATTGAGCCCTAATGATGGAGTAATTAACTTAATCCTCTACCATCTATTTCCAGTTTCATTAAAAGAAATGTCGAATTCATCTGCTAATTATGTTTTAACCATAATATTGCACGCAGGCTTACTGGGAATGGTCATGGGAAGAGTTAGCAGATTATGACCTTCCTGCTGTGTTCCAATATGTTAATGATCATACGGGACAACAGAAACATCACTACATCGGACATTCCTTGGTGAGTTGATCAAACATCCTTAATTATTGATTTTCTTGAAACTAATGACAGTTAAAAAAATTTGAACTCTTTTTTGTTTTGTGTTTGTCAGGGGACTTTGACAGCATTGGCTGCATTTGCAGAAGGGGACTTGTTGAACATGACAAGATCAGCTGCTTTGCTTTGTCCCATTGCTCATCTTAATCACATCACTTCGCCTTCGAAAATCGCTGCTGATATGTACTTGCCCGAGGTCTGAGATTTCATCCAATTCTTCGAAGTGCTTAATCAGGATCCTGCAAATATGTTCACTCTCTTTTAACATGTTTTTGCATTGCTATTTGGGACAGGACATATATAATCTTGGATACAGGGAATTTCTGAAAGGAGGGTAAGGAGAAATTATACCATAGGGGAATCTCTAAATTACCATGATTACTATGGTACACCACTCGTTAACCAGTACTACTTTGTTATTTCTTTTTCTGTAAAAACAGACTGGCTTTTACCAAGTTCCTAGATGCTGTCTGCAATAAACCTGGAATCAACTGCACTGACTTGGTAGCTGCTATGACAGGTAACTCTCACTTGAAAACTTCTCGGTTTTTCATCATTGAGAAAGGTGTATTCCGACAATGCATGAATTTCAGACAATACATTATTTCATCGTGCATAATCTTTAGCAGTACATGCATTTCAGATGTATTTGCTGTCACAACTTCGAATCATTGCATTCTAGCAATCAACTCATTTCAAACTACACACATTATTATCAATCACATATTCCAAGTTCCAACCCTGGTAATCTATCTACACAGGTCCTAGTTGCTGCGTGAATGCATCGAGGGTCGACCCATTCCTCGACAATCAGCCTCAACCAACATCAGTGAAGAACATAGTCCATCTCTCCCAAAGTAACTCTTTATCTTTTCTCTCTCAATTGATAAACACACCTCTAATTGTTATGTTACAAACAAACAAAAAACCTGACATTCTTTTCTATGAACAGTGATAAGAACAGGAAACATAACAAAGTATGACTATGGGAATGAAGCAGACAACATGGACCACTATCACCAGCCAACTCCCCCTGCCTACATCATGTCCAAGATTCAACCTTCTTTCCCTCTCTTCCTTGCATATGGAGGCAAAGACATGCTTGCCGATGTAGATGACATGGCAATCCTCATAGACAACCTGAAAGATCACGATGACAGCAAGTTGGTTCTCCATTTCGTGGACTCCTATGCTCATGTAGATTTCGTCTTTGGCGTGAATGCTCATAGTGTTGTGTATGGTCCAATCATGGACTTCTTCAAGCTCCATTGATATTGTAAAAAAAAAAAAGCTGCAAACTTTACTTCTTGTTGTACATCTGTAAACATATAAAAAGGTTTCTACTTTCCATTGAATACTCAAGCAGAATCGATATCTCCCAAAGCAGTTCATTTCATTTATACATCTGTCAAATGTAGATGTTTGGTCTGAGACTGAAGTGATTCTGAGCTGCAACAAGAGCAGCTAGAAATGGATCATGATCATCTCCTCCATCATTTCTAGATTTCCCTCTTCGCGACACGAACAACTCCTCGCAACGAACGGCTCGAGGAGGTGACGACGACGACAACGAACTGACTGCATCGTTCTGATCACAGCTCTTGGTGAAGAACCTCATCATTTGCTTCAACTTCTTACCACATTTGGCCAGCTTCTCCATTGTTCTGAGACTTTTGAGATGTGGTTTTTCTTCCCCTGTTCTGGGTTTCTTTCCTTTATTGGTTTGGATTCGGTGGGAGGCGATTGCTATACCCTTTGCTTTCATATATAGTTGGACATGTCACATGGATTTCGTGTTCCTGTGTGGAGAAGCATTTGAGCAGTTTAGGCCAATGAGCTCATCATGAGCCTTGTGTGTGTTTTTTTCCTCTTTATCTTTTTTGTTCTCAGTTTGTTATGTGGAGGTTTTGGATTGATGATACCAAAGCACAAAACTGAAAACAACAAAAACCTCAGCCGTTACAAAGTTGTAACAAAATGTGTCTGTGCAGAGAAGGGGTTGATGTCACAATCTATACAAGGGAGCAGTACGTGATTTAAGGGAAAAGATGCTCAGCGGTTTAAATGGCTAGACTATGATATTCGATTCATAAATTATCGATTACCGACGGTTAAAGTTATACGATTAATCAACTAGTTATAAGTTAGGAGTGCGGTGAATTATCTTGACTATGAAAGAAAAAGGAACCTAAATTGCATTTGAAACAAATCAAATCGAACATGTTTGATTCTTATTTTTTTCTCCACTTTTGATTCTTACCTATCCTAATTCGATCCAGTACGGAGCAGAATTGACCTAGCCTCAGTCAAAAGATTAAAACCATACTCAACAAATCACCCAAAAACATAAACAAGTGCTTTTGAAGCACATTATTGTCTGTAAATGTTCCATCCAAAACTGGTGGTGGCACTTTCTCTACATTCCCACCACCATCTTCCATTTGCATAACAGTAGTAAAAAGGACAACAAAACCCCTCTCAAAATTCTACACAACAACAACAAAACAGAGCAAAATTAAAGGGAAATGGTCTATAAACATGTTTCTGTCTATCTCAAAAAACAACACCAACACACTCATCTCACCTGCTCTTCAAAAGTCTTCTAATGGCTGTCTTCCATTCCGTCCATGTACAAAAGGCTCTTCCTTTCTCACAAAAACGGCTGCCTCCTTTTCAACTTTGTTGAACAACTTCACTGGTCATGATCGTCATGTCTCCTAACCTCTTCTGTCATCTGCTCGAGACGATCCCTCCACTCCATCATCGGCATAGAACAATGCTCGCTACTAGCCACGACTCGAGACCGGTCTTGTTCCTTCTCCGCCTCGTGATTCTCACTACTCCGGCCTCCTCCTCCATCGTCTGTAGTTGCTGACTCAGGCTGCTGCTGCTGTTGGCTCATCATGTGCATCAAGAGCTCTTCCGGCCTTAAATCAGATGTCCCCGAGTTCACTCCAGCTGTCAAAGCGAGATCATGGTCGATCTTCCTCCTCTTCCCGCCGCTGCTGTACAGCGCGTCCAGCTGGTGGAAGTACGGACAAGTCTTCGAGTCCTCGGGCCTTGCCTTGCTGCTCTCTTTCACCCTTCTGAAGTACTTGTTCATGTTCTCCCATTTCTCCTTGCACCTCTTGGCACTCCTGTCAAACCCTAGTTTCTTCATCTCTAGTGACACTTCCTCCCACAACGGGCCTTTAGGCCCACTCTCCTGATACTGCATGTCGAGATTGGTCCTTAACCTTATCAATGCTTCGATCTCCTCCTTAGGCCATCTCGATGGCGAAGAAGAAGATGGGGTCATCGGCGTCATGGGAGTAGGAGTGTATTTCACCACAGCTCTCGAAGGAAGAGGGACTTTCTCCACTGGCAATTGCAATGGCAACGGCAATGGCAAGGGCAAGGGCATTGCTCCATTGGAGAACTTCTGCAAGAAAGCAAGCACCGCGGCATCCTTAGCAGCCACACTAGCTCTCTCGCGAGCCAAGTCTTCTCGTTCTTTCTTGATTCTCTCCAATTCTTGTGCCTTCCATGCTTCTTCTCTTGCCATTCTATCCTTCTCAAACTTTTCTACTGCTTCAATGAACTTCCTCTGTAAGCTCTCTTGCTTCTCCACAACTCTAGCAAGCAATCCATTGAAGAACTCGGTGAACTTCCTCTTCTTCTTCTTTGTTCCTTCTGATTCTTCTTTGCTAGGAGTAGAGGTGGTTGAAGTTGAGCTGCTGTCTACGAATTGCATAGCGGGGCTGTATACTGAACACGGGATTGCATCTATGGCGGGACTCTGACTAGCTTGAATCGTACTAGGGAGTGGAGCAGCCATTGATGATGGAGGGGTGTTCTCTAGAGCTTCTAACTGGGAAAAGAACTTATAAATCTTTCCATTGGGTCTGTAGGTTCTTCCGTCTTTAGTTCTCTTATGGTACTTCTGAGTGTTCTCGAACTTCTCCTTACACTTTTTGGCGCTTCTGGTGTATCCAAGCTCGCTCATTCTCCTGAATTTCAACAGTTTTATTTAACTAGCTTAGTTCCTCTCTATTCCCCAAAAATTCAAACAAATGAACTCTAAAAAGCAGAATTTCGAAAGGAACACAGCAAATTGGGAGACCCACACGAATAATTTTTTGCAATTCTGGAACAGGGCAGGTCGTACTTATTTTTTCTCATGGGCCAAACCGACATACATAACGCTTTCCCGCCGTCATTAATTTTACCGGGAAAATCGAAGCCGGCGAGAGGGAAATGAATTAAAATCAGAGAGAGAAGAGAAGTGGGAGAGAGGGGAAAAACAGACCTCGAGATTACTTCCCAGAGGGGAGCTTTGAGGCTGGAGTCTCTAAAACTGGCGTCCATCTCCGACCTTATCTTCAACAGTGCTACCGTCTCCTCTGGCGGCCACCGGTTCCCTCCTCCGCTTGAGTACTGCAGGTCCTGGCTCCCTCCTCCTTCCCTCCCCCGCAACTTCATCCTCTCCTCTTCTGCCGCCACGCCGCCTCCGCCGTTGCCGCTAGTCATCAAATTCGCCGGCGAGGTCGAGACTTCCATGCTCTGAAGTGAACGGTAAAATCAAGCTCAGTTAAGTTAAATTACTTTTTGAAATTTTAGATTTTGTTTTCTGGGTTGCTTCAGATTTTAATTTGCAAGAAATGGGCTCTGACCATTTGGGGGATTTTATCAGGGTTTAAGGTTGAATTGGAAAATCCCAAATCCACTAGTAGGGTGAAATACAGAGGGAGGGGAAAGGAGGGTGAAATTAGGGTTTATTGAGAAGAGGAATGAAGCAGAAAGGGGATAAAGTTTGGTGAGAACAGAAGGGAAGTGGTGATGAAGTAAAGATAAAAAGGAGAAAAAAAAAGGCTAAATAAAGAAGAAGGAAAAAAGGCAACAACAGCTGTCAAGCTGATTTTATTTTGACATGTCAGAGTCTGATTAGTTTGCAGTCAATTTATTTGGATTTTTATGGTGGTGGTGGGAGGGAGGATTGATATTTTTGTTTAATTATTAGGGGGGTGTTAAATTTTGGGGGGAGAAATTTTGACTTTGGGGTCAATGAAAGTGGCTAGAGCCATGTGAGGGTGAGAAATAGGGTGACTTTTTGTTTGGGTTCACATTTGGGTGATTTTTCAAGTTGTGGGGGTAGCATTTGTAGGGTATTATGGATAGGCAATTGAGGTTGTGGGGTAGTATTTATGTCATTATGTGGAAAAGCAAGTAGAGCAAGTAGTGAATATGAAAGATTTGTGTCGATTGAAAATGTGTAATTTGCATTCTAGTAAAACTATATGATAAATTTATTTGTTGTTTAAGTTCTACAATGGATTGAATTTTATCCCTATCCAATTGAGCACAATATCGGAGATGGCAGAGGTGAAAGCCTTCGAATGGGGGTTTAAAGCTAGCGAGTGTGCAAAGTTTCAATCAGCTGTTTGTGAAAACAATTATTGCATAAACTGAACAAGGAGATTGTGAAGTAGAGATGAAAAATGTATCAATCATATTTGATGACAAGAATTGTTTGCTATGAAGAAGAAACGAAGGTGTGGTTTGACAGGATCCCAAACTTTTCATTACCACAATTGCTTATAATTTGCATTCAACGCATTATTTGTTAATTGAAATTTCGGGCACAACATAACCAAAAAAGAAAAGAAAAAAAAAGCTTAGCAAGTAATTTCCTTATCTTTCTTTTTGGTGGAAAAGTTATTTTCTTTCTTTTAATTGAAAACAAGTCCTTTTTGTCCCTCCACCAAAAGTTATAAAAAAAAAAAGAGAGAAGGAACAACATGTAAGAGAAGGGAATAAGGGAGGGACAATGACAAAACAAGGAGCCAGAATAATTCGAATTCAAATATTCTTTGTCATATTACACTTCAAACAGATAATAATTCAAATGTGATTAGTAGCATAGCCCCCTATTGATAATAATATGCATTTCCCCTCTATAATCGTTGTTCTTTTATTAACCCCCACTTAGTCGAAACAACAAATCCCTTAACCCTAGTTCTCTACCCAATTATCCCCAAATCTCCATACTTCCTTAACTCCTCTAGCTACTAAGAATAAAATGATAGATTGAGAGAAGTCATTGATCACTTGCTTCATAGTAGATGATAATGCAAGAAGTCTACCAACCAAGGATTGTAAACCATATTAGAGGTTTTGTATCCGAAAACTTAGCGGTAAGATCTTTATGCTAAAATTGTTGTTCAACCATTTCATACCGATAAAAACCGTCTACTGATTTAGACTCCGATAGGAAGTTTTCCCGATCGGACTGCCGACACGATACGGTTTTACAAACACATCTACAAACCATAATTGGAGCAATGTACAGACATAAACGAACACTTCCTCCTGTTGTTGAGTTTCATGGGCTCGGCTACATTGCCTCTTGACTCCAATCATCAACCAACATTTATCTACAAGTTACAATGCACAGCCAAGCAAAAGCTCCCTAAAGGCCACGAGATCGTTAAACTAGAATGCAAGAGAAAGAAATGACAGAAGGAGAGATTACCTTAGTTGAGCTACATGGATGGGATGGACAGTTAGGAAGAGGATGGAGTTTGATAGAGATGGATCTCCTGAAGCAACAACGACCTCGCCCTATTCACAGCATTGAAGCAAAGACATATGTGTTCCTCGAGATCACCCAGCTGGTGCATCATGTTCACCTGGTTCCTCTGCACCTGCTTCATCACCTCCGTCACAGTGTACACTTCCTTCCCTCTCTCCAACCCCAGGCGTATCAAGTACCTATCACTCTCCACCGCATCATACAGCCGCGCCACCAGCCGATCAATCGTGTCGAGATCGTTGTTCAGCACGTAAGCTCCTCTAGCAGCAGCATCCAGCTGCTTTACGTGGGCAGCCTCTTTCCTGGTCAAGAAGTTGTTGTTGTTGGCAGGGAGGTACGCTGCAGTGGTGCAGAACGGGCACGCCACGATTGCAGCCAGGGCATGAGTGGCGATCACCACAGCTGATGCAGCGATCGCCACGGTCGAGCCTACGACGCAGAGGGCGGAAGCCAGGGTGGCTCGACGGGCGAGGCGGATTCTGGAGCGGGACTTGTGGAGCCGCTGGTTCAGCTTATGTCGGAGCTGGGAGAAGCACTGCCGCATCTCCTGGAAGTTGTGGGAGCCCGGCGGAGGGAAAGGGTTGTGGAATTTGTCGAAGTGGAGGAAGGCGTCGAAGGCGGCGTCGCATTGTGATCCGCTGAGGTGGTGGTTGAGGGGGAGGACTTGGAGGAGGCGGTGGAGAGGGTGGTACATGGCGCGAGCGCGGTGGACGCTGCGGTGGAGGAGGAGGCAGAGGCGGGTGGTTTCCTCGCTGTGGGTGAAGTAGGCGGAGACGAGGCGGGTTAATGTAGAGGGTTTGGCGTGGCGGAGAGCCTCGGCGACGCTGTCTCCGTCCGGGTGGAGAACTTGAGCCATGAGGAGATGGTCCTCTTGGAGTTCAATCTGGTGGCTGTGGTGGTAATCGTCGGGGATGTGGATTCTGGACCATAGTTCTTTGTAGGAATCGGTCTGGACTGCGAAGGTGTATTCTCTGGTGAGGTTTCCGGCCGGGGATGTGAGAGTGCTTGTCGGGGAAGCACCGTTGGTGGAGGTACCTGCAGAAGGAAGCAGTTAACTAGTCTGCTTCGTTTTTTCGTTCACGCATTTGGTCGAACAGTTGGCGTGCTAAAGACAAGAGGGACAATAGGGCAAGGAAAAACAAGCCGAAAGTACACGTACCTGGGGAAAGCGGTGGCAGAGGGGGATCGCAGAGATTGATGGTTGGAGGAGGAGGAGAGGAAGCGGCTGCGGCTGCGGCCGAGGCGGAGGTGGAGGCTGAGGCTGAGGACTTGAAGGAAAGACATTGCAGCATTCGGAAGGGCGGGAACGGAGAAGAGTAAAGCGAATGAGCGGGAATAGAATATGGCTTGGCTGCAGTTCGCGAGGCTATGGCCGAATGGGTGGAACCACGGGCGCCGTCGCCGCCGGAGACACTGGAACTGACTGCTTGGAAGCGTGGAGGAGAATCGATCAGGAAGGTTTGCTGCCGGGGAGGCGAGGCCGCACGACGGCGCGAGCGAAATAGATATGGCAAATGCGCGCGGGATTTCGTTTTGGTACCCATTCATAATATTTAGGACAAAAAGGGACGTTGCTAGTAATTTGATGTTAATTAAAAATAAGGGGATTTAAGTAGGTTAATTTAATGGCCAATTTTACAATTTTATTATCTTTATGTCACAACCCATATATATGAAGTTCAATATCAATTTGAAAGAAATTCGTATGCTGAAATTATGAACCATTTTTTCTTATTGGCTCAATAAAATTCACATAAGTAAAATAGAGTTTTAATCCCCATCTCCCCAATTGAGGGATTAGTGTGCAATGCAGAAGTGACACTTATTAGAGTCATGGGATCTTCTCTTTACCCTTCTACTTCTCTTTTACTCTTTTATACTAACTTTTAATCCTTTAGCACAAGTATTAACACAAGAGAGTAAAAGAATGAACAAATAACTAATATCAAAATGGAAAGGAAAATGGTAGGAGTAAAAATAATTAGACTTAGATGGGCAAAAGAGAGAAATGAAAAGCCAAGGTAATTAGCTCATATAATCAAGTCTAACGGGTCAATAGAAACAAGTCAAAGAGAAAAGACAGACCGATCTAACGAAAAAATGTTTTGAATGTGTAAGTCAAAGTGAGCGTACGTTAGACTAAAACATTTTAGGTAATGGTTTCATCATTTTAGGAAAGACCATAACAAGATTAGAGAATGACAGCTATCACAGATTCTGAAATAGATATGATACATTGAGCAGCAATAAAACGCATGTAACGCACAGTCAACACATTTAGTACAATGCGACTCCACACTTGCACACTCACTATTATAAATAGAACAACCGGCCTCTGTAAATGACCAGAAACATCATCTAAAATCCATTTTATTCTCTCTAGAGCTTCTTAGAATAAGGTTAAGAAAGAACTTAACGCCTATACTAGATTTTAAACATCCAGAAGACAATTTCCTTTTTTTTGATCATTTCTCTCTACCTTCAACTGCCATTCACTAATCTGCAACACAAGAAAAAAGTAAGCCTTATTTTCTCTAAATTTCCTTTAGATTCATGAATTCAATCCCTAATTCTTCTTCCATTCTTGTCCTCTGAGCTATCTTTTCTTTGTTGCCTTCCCTAAAACCTTTAGCTCTTCTTCATTGAAGCCAAAAGTGCTTTGTTAGTCACTGAACTTTTCCATGATGAGCACCCAATTCCCATATAGCAAATACCCCCTGATGGCCTGATTAATAAGTACAAGAACCATTACAACCCCGCGAAAAAATTTGATGACCATTACGTAAACTTCACACCACACAGGTTTTCTGGTTTCTTCCCCTGAAGAAGAAGATCTAACATTACCGAAACTCAGGAGCTCCTCAACTCCAAGCGATACCAAAACCCACTCTCTCCCTCGCTAGCCATGGCGGACTTGCAGCCATGGATCACTTCGTTCCCAAGCAAAACATTCCTCCATGGATTCCGACCCTTATTAAAGCCTTCCATTTTGATTCACAACTCAAGGAACCATCGACGAACGTAACTCCCATGTTTCCCTCTTTTTTGTCGTTTCAGTAGACGAAGATCGAATAATTAGCTGAAATCAGGAAGAATCCAGCTTTGAAGATGGCGAAAGGGAAGGCCGGATTTCCCGTTCCTCTTCTTGTACAGGTGGTGACCATTATAGCTCTTTCAATGTCTGCAACGGCGGCCGGGTCGGGATACGGCGGCGGTTGGAGCTTGCGCAAAGCAATGTTCTCCAGAGGAGGAGAATCTTCTTCAGCTTCTTCTTCTTCTTCTTCATCTTCTTCTTCTTCTTCTTCTTCAATGGGGTTCAATCGAGTTGGTTCCTCTGTTGTGTTTCCGCTTCATGGGAATGTCTATCCAACTGGGTATGATCCAAATTCCAGTCTTTCTAGCTTTCTATTGTGTTCAGAATTTCACTACTTTCAGTTGTGTATGCCTCTATTTTGAATGCAATTATAAGTTATAAGCTTTTCAGATGACTTCTCATCCTGAAAAGTGAAAAGCTTTGCCTTATACTATGCCGAATGGATAACGTGCTCCCTTATATATAGCGATTTAAGAGTAAAATAACCTCAATGTGCTTTTGACAGATGATTCAGGATACCTTCTTTTCCCGATTTCGGCTTTACACTGTGGTTTCTAATGCTAGAGTTAAACCATTTTTTTTTTTTCTGCAGGTTCTATAATGTCACAGTGTACATAGGCCAACCACCAAAGCCATATTATCTTGATGTGGACACAGGAAGCGACCTCACTTGGCTCCAATGTGATGCTCCATGCGTTCAGTGCATTGAGGTAACGCTGTTTGACCTGATTTCGCAATTAGAATTGAGATAGATGAACTGCAATGCAATGCCATGCCATGTCAGGAATCGATGTGCTCTTGAGAACTATGGTTAAATGTAAAAGAGCTAGGTGTTGTGATTCACATGGTCTTGTTCCTTCTCAATTATATTAGCAGGCAATGAATGAGTGAAACTTATGGCTTAAGTTTTTGTATAAAATTACAGGCACCTCATCCATATTACAGACCCTACAATAACCTGGTCCCTTGTAAGGACCCAATCTGTGCATCCTTACACCCACCTGGTCACAGATGTAAAGAGAATGACCAGTGCGACTACGAGGTTGAGTATGCAGATGGTGGTTCATCACTTGGTGTCCTTGTCAAGGACATGTTCTCTTTCAACTTCACGAATGGGAAGTATCAGTATCCTCATCTGGCACTTGGGTTCGTATTACTTGCCTTTGTTTTGCTTCTATTCTTTGTGATTGAGTTTTCTAAACCGTCTAAGTAGATGAAGATGTTAAATGCTATACAGATGTGGATATGATCAACTTCCAGGAGGATCTTATCATCCTATAGATGGAGTGCTAGGCCTTGGTAGTGGGAAATCTGGAATCTTGTCTCAGCTCAGCAGTTATGGTCTGGTGAGGAATGTCGTAGGCCATTGTTTAAGCTCGAGAGGTGGAGGGTTTCTCTTTTTCGGTGATGATGTTTATGACTCGTCTCGAGTAGCTTGGACACCATTGTTGCGCCATGATTCGTGAGTAGAGCTAGCACCAAAAACTACGAATTTTCAGTGACTTGCTTACTCCAGTGAATTCAAACTTGTCTCTCACATTTCTTCATTTTGCTTGTCCCTTTGTTGTCAGAAAGCACTACTCTCCAGGGTATGCAGAACTTCTATTCGGCGGGAAGGCAACTGGAGTGAAAAACCTCCTTGTAACAGTAGACAGCGGGAGCTCCTACACTTACTTCGGCTCCCAGGCATATCAAGTCTCGCTTCAGCTGGTGAAGAAGGAACTATCTGGGAAGCCATTGAGAGAAGACTGGGATGACCGTACTCTCCCAGTGTGCTGGAGAGGGCAGAGACCATTTAGTACCATAAGAGATGTGAGGAAGTACTTCAAGCCTCTGGCACTCACCTTCAAAGACGGTTGGAGGTCCAGAACTACATTCGAAATGCCCCCAGAATCCTACCTCATAATCTCGGTGAGTCTTTCGAGCTTTCTCCTGGGGTTGATTTGTCCCTTCGAAACTGTCTACGACTACCTGTGTTCTCTGATTGCCGGTATATGTTGTGAATGATGGCTTTCTTGCAGTCGAAGGGAAATGTTTGCTTGGGGATCCTTAACGGGACTGAGGTGGGCTTGCAGGATCTGACTATCATTGGAGGTGAGTCTTTCAATCATTTGCACACACACTGATTCTTACCTTAACGCAAATCAGTATGCAGAGCCACCCAAATCAACAATCAAAAGAGCCTAGTTGGCTTTGACAGCCCATTTTAAACCAAACACAACCCAAAACCAACCCAAACCATTAACCTCACCTGAACGAACATATAACGGTGTATCGTTATATTTGCCTGCTGCTCTCTTTGAACCACATTTGTGAACTCTTTTTTCTGCTGTATGTTTTCTCTATTCTGCAGACGTCTCGATGCAAGATCGAACGGTGATCTATGACAACGAGAAGCAAATGATTGGATGGAGCTCCGCCACTGCCAATTGTGATCGACTTCCCAGCTCCTCATCCGGCTACTGAGGAGGGAATCATTGATCATTTGCTTCATAGTAGATGATGATGTAATAAGTTCATAAACCATGAAATCGGCTCAATGTTCTTGAGTCTTGAAATAATCAAATAATTCATCTATTGATAAGTTTCATCATTTTCAAAGTTGTTGGAATTATTGCGTGCTAACTAGTTAACTTTGGTTTCTATATTCCCATAGCTAATCAGATTGACTTCCCTGTCTCTAAAGGACGGTGACGCCATGCGCGATTGCATCAACACTATTAATTCATTCGTTGCGATAATCAATTATGACATATGTAAGAGTGTCTTGTTTACTTTCACTCAAATCGTATTATCCTAGAAACCAACAACAATGATGAGTTCGAAGGGTATAGTTGATGGCAAAATGATAGAACTCCACACTATGTGCATAAGGGAAAAGAAAAACAATGCTCAGTTAAATCATCGAAACTCGATGTAGTTTCGATAGCTACATCGTAAGATTTTTAAGTCTTTTTTCTCCCTTCAATTTCCCGTCAAATTCCGAGTTTCCATTTCCCAAATTAATTTTCAGCTGCCATCTTTAATTTTGGGATTAATTGCCCCCCTCTTTAATTTGATTGCCTGCCCTAATCTTTTGGTGTCTGTTGTTGGATGGGTATAAGCCTATAAGGAATGCAACCCAAATTGCAGTTTATCCTCTGATTTCAATTTCTACTTGTTTTGTACTAATTTAATACAAAGGGTTGGTAATGAAGCTAATAAGGATCACTATCCATAAAAGAAAAAATAACAATACTCCAAGGTCATTCTATTCCTAGTAATTGTAATGTAATGCATACAACAAAATTCTACACAAGAGGACTACTCATAACAATATGTTTCATACGTTGGCTCGTGAATACCTATCACTTCTCTTTTGTATAAAATACATCTAATAACAAATACTAGTCCATGAAAGATGTTAACCATTGCCAAACCTCTTATAAAAATTGTTATATATCCAAACACCCCCCACAAAGACCGTAAAAGCGCATTTCATATTTTCATATTTTACGAGCTTATCGAATCTTCGGATCATGAATCGAAATAATCCTGAACGTACACCCTCCACCAATGAGATCAGATCAAATCAAATCAAAAAACACAATTAAAGCACAAGAATAGCAACTCCAAACCCGAATGCATATATTTCATTAGTCAAATGTGTTCATCATAACAACAATGAAAAGAAAATTACAAGTGACCAAAAGAAGGGAGCAAATTGAATTTATTGCAAGTAGAAGGCAACGAAGGAGACGATGGAGGCACCCACCAAAGACCCAAGAGCCGGCAAGGCACCAGCCGCACCGCTCGTCGGTGCACCAGCAGCGGCGGTGGGTCCGGCGGCGGCGGCGGGGCCAAAAGCGGCGACGCCGGGGGCAGGGGCGGCGGCGGCGACGTCCTGAGCCAAAGCTGCGCTCATTGAGGCGGCAGCGAACACGACGGCGGCGCAAGCAACCTTCTTCATCTCCATTATGATGATGAATTAAAGAAGAGAGCAAAAAAAAAAGAGAGATATATTAATGAAGAAGAATTGTTGTTTAATTCCTCTTCGTTATTATCTCTCTTAATTACTCTCTTTATTGTCTTTAATTTTGTGCCTTGAGGATAACATGTGGGATGGTGGCGACCTTTTATAGTGATTAGAAGGTTTAGATTTTAGAAGTTTGTCCTTTTTTTAGACAATAGCTAATTATGGAGAGATGCTTAAGAATTGTTACTCCACTAATTTAGGGTAAAAATGGGTGGTGGAAACTGAGATGGGCTTGTACCATTGGAGGTAAAAATTAGGGATTAGAAAATAGAGATGATTATTCGGAAAAACTATTGACCAAATTGGATAGTTTTGTGGGGACGCTAGATTGTTAAAAATAGTTTGGTTTGAATTATGGTCTTTGTTATGAAATGTTTTTATCTGTTGGTCTATTCTAGGTTGAACCATGGTTTATTTATTGGACCTGAATAAGAGCGCAACCACTTTCGAGTTTGTGTTAGCAGCCCACTCGCCTTACTTGCCAACAAATTTCAAGTCTCATTCTTATTTTGTGAATTCCGTCTCGTCCTTCATTCACAAACTACAGTATGACTGAAAGTATAGACGCTCGTGTCTGCATATATCGTGTTATGTTAATGCTTATGATGTAATGACGGAAGTTGGATTTAGGGTATAAAAAAATCAAAACTATGCAAGAGTGTTGACATTTAGGTTCCAAGGCGAAAACAATTTTTTCATTCGATTATTTGATTCCAATTTTGGTGTGGTAGAACAAACAAATAGTTTATTGCTCGACATGATATGTCTGGTTTCGACCGCACTAGACCAAATCACGGTATGGTCTATAACATATAGTACTTCGTCGTCTGGTCCTAATCATATGTGTTTCACTCGATATAAATTGTAGATTGTATATATGATCCAATACGAACGGGACAACAACTTTCCCATCGTGATAAAAACACATATGGATTTAATCCTCCTAATTATTCACCCTCTTTAATTTGATTTCCTGCCCTAATCTTTGCATGTCTGTTGTTAGACGTGTATAAGGAGAGCAACCCAAATTGGACTTTACCTTCTGGTTTCATTTTTTACTTAATTTTGTATCAAAATCTGCACCAATTTAATACAACGGATTGGTAATGAAACTAATAAGACCACACCATTCATAAAAGAAGAATAAAACTAAAATTAATTTCAGCAACCATATGCTCTATTGATAGTAACAACAAGAAATGCATTAATATGCATATAACAAAGTATTTCGTGATCCTGGTTTAGTGTCTTCAAAAAAAAAAAAAAAGTATTTCGTGATCCCACAACATTTTGTTTATGATAATGTGTAAATAGAGCAGTTTGTTCGAATGAACAGGGCGGATTCGGAAAAGATTTTTCTATACCTAAATTTTGTTGTCTTATTTCTACCCAAAGTCGAAACTTCTATTCTCTCCATCATCAATGATGTTGGGTTGGAATCGTTTGATACACATATTCACATGCATACGTTGATTTGTGAAATGCATATTACTTTCATTTTGTTTGCATTCATCTAGTAACGAAGTTCTAGCATAATTATTATCGTATTTCAAATCCATTATCATTCAGAGCACCTCAAGCCCCCAAAACACAGCATAAAAACCTCAATTATCCCTAAGAACAATGTCAAACAAATGTCAAAATTGTCGTCAAAGATGGTCAACTAACACTAACAAACCAACTAAAAAGAAAGAAAAAAAAAATACCAATAGAGGAAGAAAAGGAGGGGATGGCGTTGCTTATGGGATATTCAATCAAACAAAACACGGCAGAAACAATATTCCTCCTTTTTTTCCTCTCCCTTTCTTGGGGCTTTAACTTGCCTTTTACATCATTCCGAAGTGACGGTATCTTGCAAGGAAGCAATTTCAATAGTGAAGCCAAAATTAGGGCATGAAAAATTGTAGGTCACTAATAAATTGATCACTTGGACTTTTATTTTTAACAAACCAACCACTAGAGTTGAAGCATAGAGTTATGTGGTCTACTCCTCTTTACTCAGTTGAAAATATTGCAATGATAAAAATTCCGAATCAGTAACAAAAAATGATCACTGAATGTTTGATTTCAGTGAAACTAGCTAACTAAGTCCGAAATCAGTAGCATCTAGAAGTCCGTTTTATCCCTCTCCATGAAAATCATCGGCCTGTTTTTTTCCCCAGAATAATTGACATGGACTACCCATTTTTCACCTATCCAACACAAACATCGATTCAATACCAAGTCCGCAGAACCTCGAAACCACTTCCTCTCTAACCGGATAGCTAATCAGAATGTCTATCGAGTTTGTTTCTCGACGAAGTCACATACCAGACATTGCACCAAAATTAAAGAAAATAGACAAACTTGGATTGTCATATCAATTGATACATACACCAAACTTTAGTGACAAATCCGTTAAAAACTAAAAAATTAAGTGGCCTATTCGACGTTTGGTCACTATTTAGGCAAATAGACGAGCCAATAAATAAAGAAAATAATAATAATGATATAAAGAAAAAAATTTAATTCAGCTCTCACTCTTACCATTCTCGTTATTGCTTCCTTCTCTGTCTCTCCCTCGACACATATATATATATACGGAGCTTCGCTACTTCGCTCCAAACAGTCTTTGTAAGGTTCTGAAGAGACTGTTCCTTCTTCTTTCTTCTTCGCCGCCTATTCCTTCAGCTTGAATACATGGGAAGCTACTGCGGCGGCTGGTGGTGGCGGACGGGGCTGTGGGCCGCCGTTGTGTTGGCGGCGGCGGCGGTGGTGGCCGGAGGGAATGTGACGTACGATGGGAGGTCGTTGATAATCGACGGGGAGAGGAAGGTTCTGTTTTCTGGTTCCATTCATTATCCAAGGAGCACTCCCAAGGTAAATCCTAATTCTTGTGTTCTCTCTCTATTCTTTCCTTTCTTTCCTTCTTCACTCCTTGAGTTGGGTTGAGGGTTAAACATGAAGGAAGACTTCGACTCGGTTTTCGTATCGTCAAGAGGACGATTGAGTTGAAAGTTAAAGAAAATTGAGATAAAACCGAGGCGATAGTTTCGAGCGATCTATTATCGATGTTTTCTGTTCATGTTTTGCTTTTGATGGGCCACTAGTAAACTACACTACATTTTCTTTGACTGATTTATCCGTCAGGTTGAAACAAGTCGATTTTGATAATATCGCTCAATAGTATCTAGAAGTTGGGTGAACGAATACATGCTCATCTAGTATAGAGTCGTGATCTCTGATGTGGATCAGGGTTTGCCCCGCAATGTGATACATCATTGTTTAGTTCCACTCTCTCCATGGAGTGACTTAACTAGATCTCTTAACTAGAGAAAGACCAAGATATTGGAGAATCTTATGTAATAGAATACGTCTTAATTTACATCCATATTCTTAGGAGCAATTTGGGATTTGTTTATGTTGAGAATTAGTGGAGAAGTCAACCAATGCTTGATTTTGGCTTCTCCCCCATGTGAAAGTTAATGCGGGTGGTGGGATTAATTGTGCCTGCCAAATTTGAGTACCCCCTAATTGTCCAATTTAGTAGTCCCCTAAACAAAAATGATCATCTTAACTTATAACGAATTCAGCTTGTCGGATTATTTTTACTACGAAATCATCGAAAGTGTTCGAATCTCTCCAATTTGAAAGAATCGGGAAGGAAAAGTTAACAACCTTTTTTTCTTTCTCAATTGGTTGGTTCATATTATACACGCATTTGAAGTTGGGAAAAAGGGAAGGAGAGAATATATGTTTATATATATGAAAGAAAAGGCGCCATGCACGCAATTTCCATTGTGTGACAAAGAAGAAGTAGTTGAAGAATGGGATTTTTTGTCACGAAAGGAGAGATAAATATAACGGTTCTCTCGGGTGTGTTGGTTATTTGCCCTAAACAACAAGCTACCATTCGTGACCGTGGAGGCACGATTACGCTAGCTAGCGGTATATATTGTTAGGCATTTTTGTATACTAGGTTGTCTTTTCTATGGGGGAATTAGTGTCTTCTAGCAATATACAAGAAGTCAAGACAATTTTATTCAAAAGATAATTTCGATTTGATTTACTCGTTCGAAGTTTTTCGATTTTCTGACTTATTTGAATGTTTTTTTTATATGTGATTAGCGTGAACGTTATTCTCCCTTCCCCCTTTTTCTGTCTCTTTTTATTCTATGTCGTTCTTTCTCGTATTTGAATATTTCTTGAATGATTTTTCCCCGAATGTAATTCAACTACGATTGACTATTTTCATCTTGCAAGTGACCCGATTTCCCCAGTCATATGTATATGCGTCTCTTGCTCTCAATTTAGTTAGTAAATTGTTTCCTTTCATCTCTCTGAATCACAGGCAACGATACTACAGTACATCAATATGTCTGACCTCTTTTCTGAACCCCATATTATCCGATTTGACATACGTTTTATGTCGAAACTGATCACCATTCATTACCATGGGCAGAGAGAGAGATTCTTTCTTGATTTGTCATCTTAGAGGTAGTGGTTGGACTTGGATCTTATAGTGTTGTTTCTTTGGCTGATACTTCTTAATTGTGTATGTTTGTTTGTGGGTGTTTGTTTCCCTCCATTCCTTCCAATGGCTCTCTATCTCTTGTGGCCTGAGTTCTTCTGACATAATATTATTAGAATTACAAAGACAGATCGAGAAGCACAAAAAAAAGAGAAAGATACTGAGCTGTTATCTCACTATCTTTCCAGCAGAAATTTGGCGGGAAAGAGATGCCACAGAGATATCTCATATATTAGTTTTGCTCAGATCTTTCCTTTCAGTCAGTCCAATAGTTGTTTGTTTCCTCTTTGTTTTCATTCTTCACATGGGGCGCATCGTTTTTTCAGCATTTGGTTTGGTCGTCTAGTAGTAGTCGAGAATTCATGGAGTCTTAGTAAGATATCACTGGCCTCGAATCCGAGAGCGTCTTATCTCGATTAGTTGAATTCAAGAGTCTCGATCTTGTTGTTAGAGTCAACCAATTTGTTTTCCTCCATAAACATGTATGCGATAATTGCAATCTGAAACGAAAAATCGTATGCATAATAGTGCTCTATTGGTATTTTTTATTTTTACATCTTTCGTGAATGTGACTCAACGATACGAAGATATCATTTGTGCTTAATTCTTAGTAAATGATATATAGATTATTATACACTAGGTTTACGTTGCGAAAAATGTTATCTTGTAAAGTATATCGACTATATTGTTTGTTATGAATCATCTACCGTTTGAGATTAACCTACCCGTCCAATGAGATGCCAATTTTATTTTATATAAAACATCATTTCAAGATATATCACACTCCACATTACTTAGGCGTAGTGCTAACATCAACATAATTAATTATTGGTAGAAATATTTAAGAATGAAAATAAATTTCACAGAGATATTCTGACCATTAAAAACCAATAATTAAGTGATTGAAAACTTTAGGATAAATGCCTTCATCAACTTGTGGTGGAACCATCACTTTATTATTTGTCCTTGTTATTCTCTTTAATATTTCCACCATAATAATGCATGTGCGATTCCTTTCTCTATTGACTATTTCGGGTATTAGATCTCAACATTAACTAATTAGCCAATTATATGAATTAATTAGTGTAAAAGCTGAAATTACAGATTATTTTCTTTTCCTCTGCAAGATGTGGGAATCTTTGATTGGAAAAGCCAAGGAAGGAGGGATCGACGTTATTGAGACCTACGTTTTCTGGAACCTGCATGAGCCCAAACCTGGACAGGTACGTTATATCCCCTTTTGGCACGAAATCTTCATTATAAAAAAAAAAACATTTCATATCTGTTAAAAGTCACTTTCAATTGACATAATCATATTTCATCTATTATTTGTTAAAAATCATCTAAACGCATTACAAACAGTTTCAATACATTCTTAATAACGCACCTTTGACGTTATCCGAATATCATGTACGCTGAAAACTCGTACTCCGCCCCGATATTACAGTATGATTTCAGTGGAAGAAATGACTTGGTGAAGTTCATAAAGGAGGTCCAGGCCCAAGGCCTTTATGCCTGCCTTCGTATTGGGCCGTTCATTGAGAGCGAATGGACTTATGGGTAAGCCCAACTACAACTTCTCTCTCACTTCCCTTCTTCACTATTGGTCCCTAATTAGTTTTTGGTCTAAATTAACTAATTAAGATGAAATCAACCATGTTCATTTTTATGCTAATAATGGCTGTAATGTGCAGAGGACTCCCTTTCTGGCTGCATGACGTCCCTGACATTGTCTACAGAACTGATAATGAGCCCTTTAAGGTGCATATACATCGTTGACATATATATATTATTATTGTTCAAAGAAAGTTGAGAAAAGATGACTAAAGCTGAGTTATTGTATGTGGTTAAATGTGATGGCAATCTGTTTTCTTACAGAAATACATGCAAAACTTCGTTACGAAAATAGTGGACATGATGAAGGCGGAGAGTTTGTACGCTTCACAAGGTGGCCCGATAATCTTATCACAGGTAAGTCCAAATCGATATTGCGATTGCGAAAAGAAAAGTTAAAACGAGGTTAGATCGTTTCCTTGGAAGCAACACAAGGTAGCTGATGAAGAGTAGGGTAGGGTAACATAAGCCCATGGGAGTAAAAGATTTTTCCCAGAAGGAAGCAAATAAGGATCCTCTAATGTGACGACGTGTGAGACCTCATCCACGAGTGTCGTGGATGACGTTCCACCTGTTGGATGAAAAGTTTACCGCGCCATAGGTGACAGTAAACCAATACTTTCTGACTAATTGATAATATGATAACTTTCGTGCAGGTAGAGAACGAGTATGGAAATGTAGAAGCAGCATTCCAAGAGGAAGGGAAAGCATATGTGGAGTGGGCAGCCAAAATGGCCGTTGATCTCCAAACTGGAGTACCCTGGGTGATGTGCAAGCAACCTGATGCTCCTGACCCTGTGGTTAGTACTTAGTACTCCCCACTTTTAACCAGTAAGATCCGTGGATTAAGACGCTAATCATCGCTCACGAGATTGACTGGATGCAGATAAACTCATGCAATGGGATGAGATGTGGAGAAACTTTCGCAGGGCCGAACTCCCCATCCAAGCCAGCACTTTGGACAGAGAATTGGACATCCTTGTAAGTCCTATCTAATCTGATCTAATCTAAATCTAATTTAATCTAATCTAATTACACAACAATCAGTTTGACTAGGGTTCGTATCCAGCTCATTAAGAAAACTAATCTAGTGTTTCATACTCGTGATTCGACATGAAGCCTACAGCGGTATGGAGAGGAAACATACCTCAGATCGGCTCAAGATATCGCCTTCCACACCTTGCTCTTCATCATTGCCAAAAATGGAAGCTTTGTCAATTACTACATGGTAAAAATTTGCTAATCCAATGGATAGTGTTAGTTTACTGTAACTAAAGAGTCATTTCTAAACTAATTACTAACGAAAATTTAACTTTGATGTGTGTACAACAAAATAAATAGTATCATGGAGGGACTAATTTCGGAAGAAGTGGAGCAGCATACATGGTGACACAGTACTATGATCAAGCTCCTCTTGATGAATACGGTGAGAGGCTAGTACAAATAGAGCTATAAGCTAAACCCTACCCACTTGTGTTTCTACTTCTACTATTAGAGCTTCAGCCAAGAACTGAATGAATCTTGAATTTTCATGCTTTTATTAGGTTTGATCAGAGAACCAAAATGGAGCCATCTTAAAGAGATGCACGCCGCAGTTAAATCGTGCTCTTCAACTTTACTAAATGGAGTCCAGACAAACATCTCCTTGGGGCAGCTTCAACAGGTTTAGGGTTTTAGCTCTAACTAGCTCTTTATCAGTTTCAATTCCACTAATTAAGAACAAATAACTAACAAAACTTTTACAGGCTTATGTTTATGAAGACTCAACAGCAGAGGGGAACAACTGCGCAGCATTTCTAGTCAACAACGCCACAACCGATGCAACAGTTGAGTTCAGGAATGCGAAGTTTGAGTTGCAACCTAGGTCAATTAGTGTTCTACCTGACTGTGAAAAAGTAGCCTTCGATACAGCCAAGGTTAATGCAGCAATCAGCAACCGAATAGCAACGACAAGCAAGACTCTGAATGGCGCAGAGCATCAATGGGAAGAATACAGAGAGGCCATACCTACTTTCTCAGACACTACAATGCAATTTAATCAGATAGAGGAGCAAACAAATATAACCAAGGATTCCACAGATTATCTATGGTACACGTTGAGGTAAAAATACTATCTCCGCTTAACAACTTGCTACTTACCATACTAGGATTTAGTAATTAAGCATGCAGCATGTCATTGAGTTAGTAAGGGTGTTCTTTCAGCCTACCTAAGGTTTTGATCTCATGGACACTCTTAAAAACAATGAAAAAAGCAGTGGCAGGAATCCAAACTACCAGACTGAATCAGATCAAATGCGCTTTTGAACCAATTTTGTATCTACCCTTCGTTTCAATTCGGTCTGATTCTGGATCAGGCCTTACTGAAAGGGGATAAATCAATGGTTAGAGACTGCAGCATACTCTTATTTTCCCTTCTAACGTACTAGTTCTGTTGAAAACTTACAGCTTTCAACCAAATGCAACCTCTTGTACAGAACCAAAACTGCAAGTGAAATTCCTCTCACACCTTGTTTATGCTTTTGTCAACGGAGAATATGCAGGTAAATGAGCCTAATTACTACAATTATTGATTAACTATGCACTTTGGAAATGATCTCTAATCTTACTAATGGTCAGGATCAGCTCGTGGGAATTCAACCGGTCAGAGAAATGCTGTCTTGGTCGAAGCACCAATCTCACTAAGTGAATCGAAGAATGATGTTTCTATACTAAGTGTTATGGTGGGACTATGGGTAAGTAGCTTCGTTTCATTTTTCTTGAGTTCTCATACCTTCCAAAAACACTTGATAAGTTAAATTATTAATGAACTATGAATAATTGGCATGTTCATGGTTGAAATCTATATATGAAGGATTCTGGACCTTTCATGGAGAAGAGATATGCTGGATTAACTGAAGTAGAAATCCAATGCAAAGAGAATACATACAATGTCACTAGTTATGAATGGGGATACCAGGTAAAAATTTGCACCTAAGAAATGGTTATTCGACAGAGCATCAATTATTTTGTTAATATACTAACATGTTATTGTGGTAACTTGGGCAGGTTGGTTTTCTAGGAGAGAGCTTAGGAATATACACACAAGAGAATACAGATAAAGTCAAATGGAATCCACTCTCTGATTCTTCATCAGCAAACAATGACCCATCACCCAGATGGTTTAGAGTGAGTACCTAGACTATATAACTAAGAATAGGCCAAATATCAGAATAAGGTACCACTATTCACTTTACAAGTGACTTGGATGCATTCTTTTCAAAATGACAAATATGAAATGAAAACAAAAAAATTTAACTCAACACTGTCTTCATCTTTACCGACGTCAAAAGGGGCATTATGTTTAACTGAATCATATAGTCATTGTTATATATGTCATTGAAGTACTTGATCTATGATCTATTGTCATATTAGCCATTCTCAAAACAATGTGCACATTTTGTCAATAAAGAACAAGATTGTGCCTTAGTTCTGACCTTGCTTTAAATTTGACGTGATAAACATAATTGTACAGACAACATTTGATGCACCTAAGGGAGATGAGCCAGTGGCACTGAACCTAACCAGCATGGGAAAAGGCCAAGTATGGGTAAATGGAGAGAGCATTGGGCGATATTGGATGACAATTAAAACAAAGCAAGGAAATCCTTCTCAGACAATGTAAGCCTCTTTTCTTCAGTTCTCCAGTTTTTTCAGCCTATTAGGGTTATTGCCAGGCCTTCAATCATGAGCAGCTCCAAAGTAATTCTGATTACCCTTGCCGAATTCCATTCATGCAGGTACCATATTCCTAGGGAGTTCCTAAACACTACAGACAATTTACTGGTAATACTGGAAGAATCCAATGGGGATCCGCTCCAAATTACAGTCAGTACCATATCAACGACCCAATTGCTAAACCCAAAATCAAGATATTCAACTATCAGATGATTTTTCCCCTTATTGGTTTAATATACGTTGCTTATGCTTTAGGTACTAGTGATAGAGTTATTATTGTTAGCTTGATGCAATCAAGGAAAATTAGTATATTGCAAATACTTCATATTCTTTGTAGACCTGATTGGTCAGGACAAATCAGTCAAATATTACAGGCTAAGAAGCTTTATCAATTACAATAGATGAAGGAAATGATTGATGCAATTTAGGCTTTCTGTGATTCTTACTGTCTTGGTCTATCATCATTCATCACTACCCTTAAGAAACCCCACCAAGACAGTTTCAAGTTTGAAGCAGGCCGCATTCACGCAATTACTCGGGACGAGAATTCAGTAAAAGAGTAGCATGCTTACATGTTGATGGTGTTTGCAACTTTTGTAATCAACTTTTGCCCATCAAAGATTCCATAAGAGCAGCTTCTTCCTCCTGCAGTTGAATTTACCAAATCATTTAGGAAAGCAAATTCCATTATCTAGTGCATCCACGATTGGGCACATATAAAAAAAGCTGTTTCACGTACCACCAGCGCATTAAATTCAGTCTCCTCATCAATCGCGCTTACGATAGCTGGGTCCTCCAAAAGATCCTGTTCCATTGATAGACAATCAGGGGCAGATCTTTTTATATCTTTCAATCAAAAGACTAACCTCTACTGTTATAAAAGTTACAACAGTATTAAATCATTGTACTCCAAAACAGTCTTCCATTTCCTAACACTAAGTTTGCATTACTTACCAGAAAAGAGATTTTATATCTGCCTGGCGCCTGCCCTACTATTGTAATCCAAGGATATAGATGATTTTATTAAGCCTATATGCTTGCCACACTTTCTACTCTTTTTACTATTCAGAGAGAGACCATAAACATAAATTTGATCAGACTACGAGACGTGGATGATGTTATCAACTAGAGAAGCAATAATGAAGAAAGTAAAGAGGCAAATGGCTAAAGGAGAAGAGTAAAGCAAAGGAGTTTCTTACATCATCAGCTATTTGCAGCACTCCATCTCGATCCTGTAGAAACACAAATAAATTCAATCTAGCACAGATCAAGCTCATGGATAACAAAACTCATTGTTTCTCCACCAAATAATTTTTGCAATGTGAAAAGAGAGCAGAATGCAGGCGTAGAACGCACCTTAATGGCGACAAAAAGAAGTGGATCTGATGGAGTATATATCATGTAATGTGCACCATCCTGTAGGAGAAGGTGAATAATGAAAACCAATACAATATTAAATACGAAAAGGCAAGTACGTAATAGAAAACCAAGTGCATGCTTCAGTCCATCGTTCTGTACTGTGGTTCTCAGTATAAACTCTCAAAAGCACCACTCAATAAGTGTTCGTTTTTATAATGTAGATGTCACCAGAAAATATCAATATAAGAAAGTAAGATGGCTGTGAATTTACCAGATGGAAGTATGTGATTTCAACACCCTCTGTTGGTAAGCCATCGACAGTTTCTCCGTCGTCTGCAAAATTACCAGAGCCAGAATTTTCACTTCAAGTCCTCATTTAGGAACCAAGAAAATCGGACCAATCTTTATCCAAACAATAACACTCTGTGAGCACATCATTCTTAATTATGATATTGAAAGACAAACAGATCCCCAATTGAGTTGAAACCAATAGTTTGCATGCGTGCAAATGGACCAACAATGACCTAACAATGCCTTCTAATATGTGCAGATGACACTTATTGCTTTACAAAATGCTAGCCGAAGGTCCTTGCCTGTGCGGAAATCAAATATGTCATCTTCCGAGTAGCAAAATCCTCCCCTTGCTGTGTAACAGAATCTGGCATTGGAAAAAAATAAGATACGAGCACAGGTACTTGTTTGATTTCAGCACAAAACACTGATACTTATCATAAAACTCAGAAAGCATGTAGTTGTTTACAGCTATACCCGCTATGGACTAGATGCATGTGGATCTTTGCCAAAGCATATGCTGCAGCAGGAAGTATAGCCTCCACTTCATCATCACTGACCTATGATGAACAAGCAGCAACACATGTTAGTCACAGGACTTATAAACTGGTATTCAAGTCAATAATACAATGATCAGCTTCCAATATCGACAGAACATACCGCAGACCACCCCTCAATATTCGTGCTCTTCAAAATCTGAACTGGCCTGCAGCAGGTAATCAATTTGATCAGACACTGATGTACTAGAGCAAGCTTCAAATCATATTGAGTTAAATTGAAATCACTTACGTATCGACCGGGCATAGGAGCATGCATTCATCCCCTCTTGAACTTCTAAACACCCTCCTTATAACACACTCTAATGGATTATTATTCGTAGCATCAACCTGCCAACAGTTCATTAAGAGACAGGAAATCAGTGAACTGATTGCATAACGATACCATCTTTGAATTGAGGAGTAACTGGAAATCTGTTCTTATGAAATCGTTTGAAATGCACGAATCCGAAGTGACCATTAAACACTGCATATCACAGCGTCTATTTGTTCAGTTCAGCACAGAGACGAATAATCTCTACTTCTCACTGAGACAATTTGATATGACAAAAGAGATAGAGGGAGAGCTAAGAAGCACTCACAATGGTAGCAATCCGGTTGCCGGAAGTCATGGAAACCTTGCCGGACTCAGATACGAAAAAGCCAGCGGGAGGATTCGGCAGTGGAGTAGTCGGTGAAGCATTATACCTCGAATTGGAAGTCGAGGCACCTTCGTCGTAATCATCAAAATCATCGCCATCGTCATAATCCCGGCCTCCGCCGCGAGGTTTAACGACTTCAACCTCGCTCAAGCCCAAATCCTTCCAGTCGTCATGCCCGCCACCTCCGCTCTTGCCTTTCTTCTTCTTCTTCTTCGCCGTCGACGTCTTGCTCTTGCTTCGAGACGACGAAGACGAGGAGGATGGCGAAGAGGAAGCTCGGGAAATGGCGGGAGACGGTGCGCTGTGAGGCTTCGAGAAGGAGACCGTGGAGGCGGGAGATGAGAATGAAGAAGAAGAAGGGAAGGCGCAGGAGAGGAATAGCTGGTGAATTACTGTGGGGATGGAGATAGTGGAAACCGCCATTGTTGCTTCGCGTCTCAGGAGAACGATTAACTTCTGGGAATGGACAATTTGCTTCGACTCCGAGCGAAACAATGAAACCCGAAATGGAGCTTCTTTACCCGGCTCGTTTGAGGGTTTTTTTTTTAATTCGGCCCAATGGGTACATGATGGACTTGTTTTATTCAGCCCATTATTTTACTGGCCCATAACACCAACGACCATTGACCAGGATCAAGTTGGGACTTGGGACTATTGAAATGCAGATTGGCATTTTCGTCGGTTGCAGAACATTTCCCTCCCTTTCTTCAACGCCATGGAAGCGATCGGAACTGCTTTCCTCTCTGCCATATTCGAGCAGCTGATCAAGAAGCTGAACTCTCGAGTTATCCTGAGTTTCATCAGAATGTGCCCTTTTTCCAGTGTTACTTTAGCTGTATCGGCTGACAGTTAGGCAACCGAATAGAATATGGATATGGATAGGCCTGATTGCCGAGAAGATCAGAAAACTACTGTTTTTAGCTGGAGAAATGTGTGTATATGAATATGTAAGATAGCGCGGGCTAAACTTCTAGGTACAATAAGAAGCAAACCTTCTTTGGCATGGATGATTCCACTGATCAGTCACGTACATTCAGGTGTGGAATGTCTTTGAGGATGGGCCAATAAGCTCCTTTCTCTCTTAAGCACTTTCTACCAATCAAAGGACATTTGTAGATCCACAAGCTCCCAAGCGTGGGAGGGAAGCCTCTCTTGGGGAAGTCCTGGAGGCGAAAGCAGCCCTCAATGGACAGCTGCTGAAGAGAGGTGAGGGTGTGAATGTGTTTACACTACAAAAATAATCGTGTACCGCATTGATTATTTACAAGACATTAACTGTCTTTATAAGGCCAGATCAACAATAACAATTAATGTTATTTAAACTGGGCCTACGATACTAGATTTTTAAACCCAAACGATTAGGCCTGACATGACGCGTGAGAATAAACTAAGTCTGGTGCCTCATCGCGTCAAGCCTCATCGCGTAGAGTTGGTAGACCGCCTTGTCGCGACAAACCTCCTTGTTTAAACACTTCGCGAGTCCGCCAAACCTCTACTAAGTCTAAGCGCCAAGCCTCCTCACGTAGAGCTTGGTAGATAGCCTCGTCGCGACAAGCCTCGTCGCGTAGAGCTTGGTAGATAGCCTCGTCGCGACAAGCCTCGTCGCGTAGAGCTTGGTAGACCGCCTCGTCGCGACAAGCCTCCTTGCGCCAAGTTTGGTAAACCACCTCCTAGCATTGTCATCATGTTTGACGAGCCGCCTCGCCGCGAGATCTGGCATAGCCATGGTGAAGGAAAGGGCAAGTAACAAGACGTCAGTTCCAAAAGGGAGAGTCGACGGTTTGATTGAGAAACTGTCAATTACTCCACGTTCAAGGACACGTCAGCCACGTCCGGGAAAGAAGGGAAGCGGTTCTTTTTGGAAGTTACTCTCCAGACAGTTTTCTACGACGGTTATCACCTCAAGCCTATAAATAGGAGGAAGAGTTGTCAGAGGAAAGCCCGCAAAAATCACCACTCGACATCATTTGTCAAGTTTTACCAATTTTATCTTTCTCCTGCAACTTTTATCAGTAGTCGTAGATCTGGAGCTCTCTCAGAACCTCCATAGGAGTAGGAGTAACTTAATGTAGATCTGTCTCGAGAGTCGTGTAAACATCGATCACCCTCGTTCGAACTGTGTTTGAAGAGGTGTGAACTGTGTTAAGTTAATCGTTGTCCGAAGAAGTCAAGGTGCATTCAATTCATTTCAACGCAAGTTTTCTCGCCGGAGAACAAATTTGGCACACCCGGTGGGACACTTGTGGTCGATTCAATGGCTCCGAGGCGGAGGAACCATGAAGGTGACGTTCCGGCTGGATTCGTGGAGGGGCAGGTGGCCAACATCGAGCATGGCCAAGCGTCCGACGCGGTGACCGGAGGAAACGGTGGAGCAGAGATCTTGATGGCGACCGCGTCTGGTGGAGATCTCGGCGAAGCAGTGGGGGCCCTTCGTCAGATGATGGAGGAGAACCGTAAGATGGTGGCAGAGAACCGTCAAGCTACAGAAGAGAACCGCAAGATGGTGGCTGACAACCTTCGAGCCACGGAGGAGAACCGCCAAATGCTGGTGGAGAACCGCCGCATGATGGAGGAGACTCGGGCCAGTACACATCAGGTAAATTCTCAAATGGACTGTCTCAATTCTCGCATTGATAGACGTTTCAGTCAATTATTTGAGGTGGTTAACAAAAACACAAATGAGTTGGATCAGTTTCGACAAACTCTAACTAGACCAGTAGGGCAGTCAAGAGCTTTGCCATTAGATGGCACAGGCCTAACGCCTACTAATAATGTTCTTTCTCCCGCCGGTGGTCGGAATGGCCAACCACGGCAAGAGAACTTGTCGCCTCAAACGGCAGGCCAACCAACTCCACGTCGAGTAGGTGAGGTCGAGATTCCTGCTACAACTCAAGTGGGGGAATCGTCACAGGCACGCGTGGGAGTTGAAGTGGTACCCCCGCGTGGTGAGAACCTCGCCACCATGTTCAACACTCGAGTTGAGCAGCCATCCGTGCAAGTGGGTGCTCGTCCCTCTATCCCGGAGGCAAGACCCTACGTGGCTCCCGTGAATTTGGGAGTAGGAGGAGGCCTAGGTGGTAACATGGATCAAATCCCACCTCGAGGCTACCCAACTCCAACGCCACCCCATTTCAATGGCCATGGCGTGGACCCCATTGGGTTTGTACCGTATGGGGGGCAACAAGGGGGGCATGAAGCCAACACCCTTAGGGATCAAGTGGCTCAACTCCTCACGGAGCAGTTTGGCATGGGAGTAAGACCTGCCATGCCACCTGTATACCGTAAGCCGTACCCAGAATGGGTAGATAGACTTTACCCGTTTCCAAGAGGATTCAGAGTTCCCGAGTTTGCCACATTCACAGGGACTGGAGATCAGTCCACTGTAGAGCACGTTGGACGTTTCACTGTCCAATGTGGCGATGTAGGAGATTTTGTTAAGTTAAGACTATTTGGAAACTCATTGACAGGACCAGCTTTTGCTTGGTACGTCAACTTGCCGTCTAACTCCATTCAGACTTGGCAACAGATGGAACAAGTCTTCCATGCTCAGTTTTACAGATCTGAGCCCGAGGTGTCCATGGCTGACTTGGCACGTATGCGCCAACAACCAGGAGAATCGGTTGAGCATTTCTTGACTAACTTCAAGAATGCCCGTAACCGTTGCTTTGTCAACTTGACGGAGAGGGAGTTCGTCAAGTTGGCACAAGGGGGCTTGAGTTTTGAACTAAGAAAGAAATTCCAAGATAGAGAGTTCTCTGACTTGTTTCAACTCATGTCTTGTGCTGTGAGGTATGAGTCTCTTCTACATGAGGAGGAGAACCGTAGGAGTGCCTCAAGGGGATCTTACTTCCCAAACTTAGACTATACCATCAATCATGTTGGTCACGAGGCTAATGAGGTTGAGGTGGACTTGGCTGAAATAACTCCAGGGAAGCCATACATATGTGCTTCCTTGTCTAAAGTTGAAGAGGGACCACAAGGGGGGAGACCCAATCGTGCTCCCATTCAGTCGAGGAAGTACTCCTTTGACGTCTCCAAGGCAGACTTGATTTTTGACCAACTCTATAAGGATGGTCAAGTCAAGTTGACAGGGGGGCATGTCTTTCCCTCACCCGAGAAATTAAAAGGGAAAAAGTATTGTAAGTGGCATAATAGCATGTCACATGCCACTGATTCTTGTGTGGTGTTCCGTAATGTCTTGCAGGATGCCATTGATAAGGGACGCATCAAGTTCCCTGAGGCGAAGAAGGATGCCATGTTGGTGGACACTGATCCGTTCCCCAAGGTGCTTGCCGTCAACATGGTCAACCCAGACTTCTCCAAAGTCGAGTTGCCACGTTTCAAGCTGGTGTTGGATACAACGCCGCCTCAAAGGAGCCCCAATGTGGTTTTCGAGCAAGGGAGCTCGTCGGGTACCAAGCAGGCCAGCCCGGCCGCAATGATGACTGATGAAGTTGACAAGTTGTGTGCTCGGTGCAAGGAGAGTCTCAAACTCGATGAAGAGAAGCCGAGGCCATCGATTCATCAAAGAATTGGTCTTCCCAACAGGCCAAGGCCAAGGTACCCGCCATACGAGAGACATGTGGAAGGAGTGAAGCAACCAGCTTGGGGGCAACCGAGACAATGGGTGGCCCATGCTCCTTTCCAAAAGAGGAGAACGTTCAAGATGCCAGATGTTCCACATGGTGGATGGCATACGTATGATTCTCGTCGTCAACAACCAATAGCAGTGGCTGAGATGACAAGGACCCAAAGAAGAAGGTTCCTTCGCAAGAATGCACAAGCACGTCAAGGCCAATTGCCAATGGCTCGTAGAAACATACTGGGTGCGACACAATGGAGGAGAGAAGGTAGTCTTCAACCAAACCTCAAACTGGTCAACTCCATGACCACAGGATTCAAAGTGGGCGTGGTAGACAAAGGCAAGCAGGTTCAAGTTCAGAGTGATGTCAAAGCTCGAGGAGGGGTTGATGACAACTTCGAAGGAGAAGAAGGCGAATATGAAGATGAGTATGCTGAAGATGATATGCTTGAAGATGATCTTCCCGACTCCAAGTTCAACAGGGGTAACAAAGATGATGAGGAGGACGACCAAGGTCCTGCTACGACCATCCAATTCGGAAGCTTGCCACCGGTGGTTGTTACTAACTACATACTGCCCATGGTTTTCCAATTCAATGAAAAAGATCGTGAAGGAGATATAGAGAGCGAAGACGTGGAAGAAGCAAATGACGAAGATGGAGCAGTTGCTGAATTGACTGAGGCATTCGCCCGTCTCGAAGCCAGTGATGAGCCATGGAGTGTGAGGATGGCTCGTTTGGGAAGTAGGATAGATCTAGCCGTCGAGACGGCAAGGCAAGGCAAGAGTTCTCAACAAATTTTGAGGGAACTCCACGAGGCAGGCCATAGGAACGTGGGTTTGCTTGGAGAAGATGATGGTCGATACCCGTTCTATGTATTGTACCAGGGCCCGGAAGCGACATCGTCGTTAGCCATTGAGAACCCTACATGGGGTTGGGAGTCTGACAACGAGCAAGAAGGTTCATTGGTAAACGACGAAGGCACAACAGAAGAAGAGGCTGTCATGCATGTAGCCGCCTCGAAGGGGAAACAGGTTATGAAGGAGAATGCAAGTGATGAGTCAAGCCACTTGGTGGTGTTCAAAGAGCCTGAGCCGAGTATGATAAAGCATTTGAAACCCCTTTACATTAAGGCTAGACTTGATGGTGTGCCCATGTCAAGAGTCTTAGTTGACAACGGAGCTGCTGTCAACGTGATGCCAACTCGTATGTTAAGGAAACTTGGGAAGAGCACTGGTGATTTGATTCCTACGGATATCTTTGTTACAAGTTTTAATGGAGGATCAACTTCAGCAAGAGGAATTTTGCCAGTCATGGTGAGAGTGGGGAGTCAAGAAAGGATGTCTGCTTTCTTTGTTGTCGATGGGGTGATAAGTTACAATGCTTTATTGGGAAGAGACTGGATCCACACCAACAAGTGTGTCCCATCTTCGCTTCATCAATGTTTGATGTTATGGAATGAAGAAGGTGTAGTCGAAGTGGTACAAGCAGATACCAAACCTTTTGCCGTAGGAGCCAACGTGGCCGAAGCTCCATTATACGATGGAGACTTTGGGCCACTTCAAGTTAAAAGTATGGATGGTGGGTCTTGTACTGTGGTATTCTCAAGTGCCAAGGTTTTGAGCAAAGCTTGCATCGATCCACTCTCAGAGATAGTGAGACCATCTATGATATCTCTTGATGGTCCACCTAAAGCTGAAGCAAAAGATGATGATGAGTAAGCCACAACAAGACAAGGTGGCGAGGGAGGCCGAAGTCACGGCCTTGATGGGGAGGTTGGCCATTTATCAGTTCGAACAGAGGCTAGCTTGGGAGGAGCTTGTGTTGGTGGCTGACTGTGTTCCCGAAGAGGATTCGCCTGAAGAAGGCGAGGAGCCAAGTATGGCTGACGAAGAAGAGGATCACATGACTTCTCGTGATATCCTAGAAGAAATCAATCTTGGCACTGAAGAGGACCCGCGCCCAACCTTCGTCAGTGCCATGCTCTCTGAGCAAGACAGGTATGAGTTAATAAACTTATTGAAAGAATTTAAAGATTGCTTTGCGTGGGATTATCATGAAATGCCTGGTCTAGATAGGAAGTTGGTAGAGCATAGATTGCCAATTAGTCCTGGGTTCAGGCCTTACAAACAGCCGCCTAGGCGCTTTGCTTACGAGGTCTTGCCAGAAATAAAGAAAGAAATTGAACGACTGTTAAAAGCTGGGTTCATAAGAACAGCTAGGTATGTGAAGTGGTTGTCTAATGTAGTGCCAGTTAGAAAGAAGAATGGCAAGATAAGAGTATGTGTAGACTTTAGGAATTTGAATCTAGCCACTCCTAAGGGTGAATATCCAATGCCATTTGTTGACATGTTGCTCAATGCATTGACTAGGCATGAAACTTTTTCTTTCATGGATTGTTACTCAGGCTATAATCAAATTTACTTGGCCGAGGAAGACATCCACAAGACCTCATTTCAGTGTCCAGGAGCAATTAGATGCTACGAATGGGTGGTCATGCCTTTTGGGTTGAGAAATGCGGGTGCCACTTACCAACGAGCTATGAATACTATCTTTCATGACTTGATTGGTGAGTTGGTGGAGGTGTATGTGGATGACATTGTTTTCAAGTCCAAGGTAGCAAGACAACACCTCTCTCATTTACGCATGGCTTTCTTACGTATGAGAAGTCATCAATTGGAACTAAATCCACTTAAGTGTGCATTTGGTGTATCTGCAGGTGACTTTTTAGGGTTCCTTGTGAGCCAACGTGGCATTGAGGTTGACAAAAGCAAGACCAAGGCCATCATAGAGGCCATGCCACCACGTGACAAGAAGGAGCTACAGGGGTTCCTCGGCCAAGTTAACTACATTCGACGCTTCATCTCGAATTGTGCGGGCCGGACTCAAGTGTTCTCCCCGTTGCTGAAGTTGAAGAAGGAGGAGGACTTTGTATGGCGTCAAGAGCATCAACAAGCTTTTGATGACATCAAAAGGTACTTGGCGAGCCCGCCAGTACTCAACTCGCCCATTCCACGTCGGCCTTTGAAGTTGTACCTCTCAGCCACTAACACATCTATTGCGTGTCTGTTGGCTCAAGACAATGACTCAGGTCATGAACAGGCCGTGTATTATCTAAGTAGATTGTTAAACACGGCCGAGCAAAAGTATTCTGCCATAGAAAAATTATGTTTGGCTTTATATTTTTCATGTATGAAGTTAAGATACTACTTGATGCCTGTTCAAGTACAACTCATTTGTAAGACCGACTTAATAAAATACATGTTGTCCCGACCAATCATCCATGGAAGGATCGGCAAGTGGACACTTGCACTATCTGAGTTCAATTTACAATACGTACCACAAAAGGCCATCAAAGGCCAAGCCTTAGCCGACTTCTTGGCCGACCACCCATGTGTGGACGTGCCTCCCGAGTTAGTAGAGATAGGGATGGTGAGTGAAGCCCCTTGGACTTTATACTTTGATGGTTCGAAGACACGTTCGGGAGCAGGGGCTGGCGTGGTGCTCACTTCCCCATCCGGGCATGCCATGTCTTTTGCTTTTACTCTTGATGTTCCATGTACTAATAACCAGGCCGAGTACGAGGCCTTGGTGGTTGGGCTGGAGATGCTTGTCGATTTAAAAGCTAAGAGTGTTGACATCAAAGGAGACTCACAACTGGTAGTCCACCAAGTGCTTGGTGATTTTCGTTGTGTCAATTACGTGCTAGAGACATACCTCGAGTATGTCCAAGTCCTGATAACTCATTTTGACAACGTATCTATCAAGTTTGTGCCTCGACAAGACAATGGCAAGGCCAACTATTTAGCACAATTGGCTTCGGGTTTTAGGGAGTTCTACCATGAGGGAGGAGAACAGATTTTCGTACGAACACTTAACCCATTGAGAGAGCGTTTGAAGCAAGGAGTAGAAGTGTTCCAAATAGATGGAGAAGAACCGAAGGATTGGCGTACTCCTTTGGTGACTTACTTGAAAAATCCAAATGGGGATGTCGACAGAGCTATCAAGTTCAAAGCAAGGAACTACGTGTTATTAGATGAAGTCTTGTTCAAAAAGAGACCAGATGGTTTGTTGTTGAAGTGTTTGGGGGGCAAGGAAGCCCTCAAAGCTATGGGGGAAGTTCATGAAGGCATATGTGGGGCTCACCAAGCTGGACCCTCCATGAGATGGGTACTTCATAGATATGGCTATTACTGGCCATCCATTGGAGAGGATTGTGCTGCTTTTGCCAAGGGGTGTGAGGCTTGTCAACGACATGGTCCTGTTCAAAGAGCTCCAGCGATTGATTTGAAGTCTATCATCAAGCCACGTCCATTTTTTGGTTGGGCAATGGACTTGATTGGGAAGATCTACCCGGCTTCGTCCGATAAACACACCTTTATTATTTTGGCTACTGACTACTTCACGAAGTGGGTGGAGGCCAAGCCAATGACGGTAGTAAATCAAGGTGAAGTGATCAAGTTCATAAAAGAGAATATAATCCATCGGTTTGGGCTGCCTGCCACTATAACTGCTGATCAAGGTACTGTGTTTACTGGAGGGGAGGTAATGGAATTTGCAAAGGAGCATGGAATCAAAATCATACATTCCACCCCATATTATGCTCAGGCTAATGGTCAAGCTGAAGCATCCAACAAAGTGGTGAAGGGAATCTTGTCTAAAATGATAGAAGACAATCCGAGGAAGTGGCATGAACACTTGTCAGAAGCTTTGTGGGCTTATCGCATGTCGCCTCGTAGTAGTACGAAGGTGACGCCCTTTGCCTTAACATACGGCCATGAAGCCTTCTTACCAGTCGAGGTAACTGTCAAGTCCTTGAGATACATGCGTCAACATGAACTCACTCCCTCAGATTATTATGAGTCTATGATGCTAGAGTTATGTGATCTTGATGAAGTGCAACTAAAAGCTCTTGGTAATATTAGAGTTCAAAAAGAAAAAGTTGCACGAGCTTACAACAAGAGGGTTAAGCACAAATCATTCGAAGAGGGGGAGCTAGTGTGGAAGCTACATTTGCCCATTGGGGATAAGGATCCCAAGTTTGGCAAGTGGTCTCCAAATTGGCGTGGCCCCTTCATTGTCCATGCCACTCGTCCTAACGGAGCGTATCTATTGAAAGACATCGATGGGGTATTACACGATCGACTTATTAATGGCAAGTATCTTAAAGCCTACATCCCCTCACTCTGGGATGCGGGATGCCAACAAGCTTAATTCTACAAAGTTGTTTCCATGGCGTGGCATGCCGAATGAGGTCATGCCATGCCATGGCGTCTCGTCCCAAGTAATCAGTGGTCTAGGACATATTTTGACCCGGGATGTGTTGTAGTAGAAAAGCAATGGGAGTAAAGGGCTAGCTTTAAAATAAGAATAAAACAAAAGCTCGTGTGATAGAAAAGTTCTAAGTCTGTGGCCTGGCCATGAAGCCGAGTCGGAGGCAAAGAAGGACATGAAGTGGCGAGATAGCTTATAACCGCCGCATAATTGGCGGATAATCTTGAGTTGAAATTAAAGTCAATATTTTGGTTAAGTACTTGGCCACAAAGTTAGGTGTGGGGAGGAAAGTGGCTTTAGTTAGCATGATGTCTCCCTTTGAGTTGGATTAGTAACCAAGCTAGGAAGGGGGGAGTTGCTTGCTCCCTGCCGCAAACGTGGGATGAGGAGAGGGCAACAGCGATGATCAATTAAGAGGCCATGATCACATTGAGCCGAAATTGGGATGAGATGTCAGTTGTTCTTGAGCAAAGTGGTCGAATTACATGCCAAAGCGTCATTGAGATTGGGAAGATGAGTGGAGTTAAGGAGGTTTGCCTCCTAATTTATTTTGAAGATCTAGTAGGGGTTTAATGGAGAGGCAGGTCGTGTCGGCTTGATCATTAAGAGCCAAAATTTGGCTAAGGCAGGAGACAAGCTTTGACGTCTAGTGCCATCTAGCAATCTTGGCTTGACGTGATAAAAAAAAGAGAAGAGGAAATTTGGCTAAGGCATAAGACAAGCTTTGATGTCAAGCCCAATCTCGCCTTGTTGGCTTGATCATCGAAAGCCAAAGTTTGGCTAAGTATGGGGGTTGTCATATACTTTGAACCACATGGCTAGCCTAAGACGTGAAAGGAACGCGGGTGTAAAAAAAGAAAAAAAAAAAAAAATCAACAATGGCAATACGAGAATCAATCCATGAAATCCGAAAAAATATAAGGAAAAAAAATCAAAAGCCACAACAATGGCTAAACCGACTGTTCAAAAGTATGAGCAAAACAAAACAAAGATGCTTCAAGCATCAAGGGCCTTGAGGATCTCATCGAAGCTAGTCTTCAACTTGGTGAATTTGGACTTGTTCTCGCGATCAGTCTGGATAGCCTTGGCTCGTTGAAGGGCAATTTCATTCATAGGCATGAGAGATTCTTTTTTCTCACGAAGAGCACGAATCTTGGTTGCTGACTCATGAAGATCTCGTGCCAAATTTTCTTTTTGAGTCCTCTCTTGAGTTTCTTCTTCTTCCAGACGTTGGAGCTCTGCCTTCAGTTCATCAATGCGTGCCTTGCGGGTAGCTTCCGTAGCTTGAAACGAGGCCACCTTGCTTGATGTAGATCTTCCTTTGGCCAACTCCTCTTGAAGAGATGAGTGGGTGGTGGCTTTATTCTCTTCTTCACGTGCCAACTTGTCCTGGAGCTCGTGAGCACTCTCAATGGCAGCAAACCACGACTTGATCTCCGAGGAAGCACTCTGCATTAGTAGCATTTGCTCCATATCTATCCCCGGGATGGGGAGGTGCAGCTCGAGCTTGGTAAGGAGGTCGAAGGCTTCTTGAGGCCACTTTGTGTCTAAAGCCCTCATTGCTTCTTCAGGGGAGAGGGTAAGGAATTCACCCACTGCCGTCAGAGCACCCTTGATGGAGGAAGGAGAAGGGTTGCTTGTGGGGACAGGACCCTCCGTCAGGAAATGACTCTCAAAGTCTTTCAGATATGCGAGGTTGTCATCAAGACTGGCCATACCCTGTAGAAAAAAAGGGGTGAAGTACGCTATGACATGATATGGAATTGGGAATAGACAGGTTGAAAAATAGATACACTTACCAAGTCAACAGGGCTAGTTGTTTGAGTAATAGGTGGATTATCAACGAGGCTAGCTTGGCATCCTTCCTCGGCAGGAATGGGGGGTTCCCTCGGCGTGGCTGTCACTCTTTCCCTTGTCGCCTCTAATTCGTCAGAAGCCCTTTCTTTAGTTGGGGCAGAGACCAAGGGGTTTGCGAGTAAAGCAAAGGCATTCTCGCTGGTGGTGAACAACTCAGACACAGCGACACCACTCGTGCCCTCTGAGGTCATGAGATGCCTAGTCACGAAATTTCCAAAGCCGAGTTTGTCAGGCGGGGTTTGAGTGGTAGTTGGTTTCGTCGTAGGGACAACCATGGGGCTAGTTGCTTGGCTCGTGACGAGGGGAGGTGTGGAGCGAGCAGGCACTTCTTGAACCTCAGAATCCGTCGTAGAGAAGTTTGCCTCAGAGTCTGAAGCTTCCCCGCCAATGGGCTGGCGAGCCTTGTCACCAAATTCTTCGTAGTCCTCCGCGCCGGCATCATGGGATCCATCACTCAGCTCCACTGTTTGTGACTACACATGAAATGAGCAAGAATAGTAAGAGAAGGTGGCATGAATAGTACCACATTAAGAGTATGAGATGGGGGCTTAACACTTACATGCTCACTCTCCTGGGGTTGGTTACGTTTTGGTGGCCTTGGTGAGGATTCATTCTCCTTAAGTGCTGTACAGAAAGAAAAAGACATCAAGAGGCCACATACTTATATAAAAAAAAAAAAGATAGAAGAAAAAGGGACTAAGGGTGAACTAGGAAGACGCTTACATAAACGACGTTTGACAGAGACTTTGGATGTAGATGCTTGTTTTCCCTTGTCTCTGTTGTCGTGAGTTGATGCTTGAGGTCCAGAGGGAATACTCACCGGTTTGCTTGGGAGTAAGCCTTGTGCTATTTGGACTGGATTACCATTGAAGAGGCCAAGGGCTTCTAGTTTGTTTGGGAGCAATTTTCCAAAGGTCTTGGAAGCGCGATTCTCTAGATATTTGAAGAAACTGAACTCGACGCTTGCTAAGAGTTTGTCTTGCCATAACTTCAAGTTGCGTGCTTCATCACTTTGCAAGTTCCTGCGGCCAGTGGGATCCATGAGTTGAGGAGAATGTGGCATAGTCAAAGGCCAAGACTGGACAAGACCGAATTGGCGAGCAACATAGTGTGGATTGTAGACTTCGGAGGTAGCAAACTTAGCGCCAATTGGGGTGAACACTAAGTCTCGCGGCAGTAGCCATCTCTTCCATTGGCGTACAAATTTCTCATAGGGTCGCGAAGGACTTCGTGGTTTCTCCTTAAAAGGGGTTATGAAAGATTTAGACCCAAGGAGACGCTTCGAGAAAGGAGAAAATGTAGGTATCATGCTAAGTTGATAGAAGTATGAGAAGCAGTCAACAAAGTCTCGTTCCAGCGGTTTGGCTTTGATGAGGTAGTGGCCATATGAATCTGGTAGAGCATCTGGGCTAATCTTGTCTAGACTCTGAAGATAACCACGTCGTCCCGGGAAGTACGCGTAGATCCATAGGAGCACAATCCACAAAGGGCCTGAACCATTAATAGTAGCACCCATGGAAATTTGATGATGGAGTGAATACATACCATGATAAATATGGGCCAGTATAAGATCTGCAAAGTCACGACCACACCATCCCGCGGCAAGTCTATGAGAAAGATCACAGAAGGATTGGCGAGGTGAGCCTGAGCTGGGACAGATGATGAACTTGTAGAGCCAAAAGTGGATGAAAGCAGCACGCTCTTCCTGGGTCACCGGAGCCGTTTCGTCGGAAGGTTGATATTGTTGACGAAATGCTTGGAACGACAGTGGGGGGAAAAGTTGTGTGTTCTCCGGGAGTTCGAGGCGAGACTGAGTTGCTGATTCGAAGCCAAGACCAGTTAAAGCAGTGACGTCCATGAGGGTAATGGTCATGGCCCCAATTGGGAAGACGAAGCAGTTGGAGGCAGTAGACCAGAAGCATAAGGCAGCCTTGAAGAGAGCAAAGTCGGGTTCTCCAATCTCTGTGCAAAGGGATATCAGTCTCCAAATACCGGAACTCGTCCACAAGCGCGTTGTTGTCACATCATTCTGAAGTCTTTTGAACCATCCATTGAAATCCGGGTCTCTTTGAGGCCAGGAACCCACTGGTTTCTTGGAGCGCTTCTTGTGAACGAAAAACGTCGTGGAAGGAAGGTTCATCTTATATAGCAGTCTCCCTTGGCCGAGCGGGTAGCGATCAAGTCGGCCTACAGGGCCGCTTCGTGCTTGAATCAGGTAAGGTCCTAGTCTACCCATGCCATTTTCTTCGACTTGCAAGGTATGCATGAAGACCCCTTTATCGCGGGCGAGGAGGTCGTATTCCTGTTGGTAGACGCGAGTAGCCTCCTCGATCTCATTTTGAGTAATCTCTTCTTCCTCGTTTGACATCCTACAAAGCCGCACAAGAGGAATGAGTTTACCATGTCGAAAAAAAAAAAAAAAAAAAAAAAGAAGAAGCAGCCATTTGGCCATGCACGCAGGAGAAGAATAATGGCACATATATATAAATAAAAGCGGCCATTTTTAATGGCCATACATAAAATAAAAAATAAAAATAAAAATAAAAAAATTTTGGCCGCCGGCCATTAGAGGTGGAAGGAGCTTGGATTTTCACCTCGATTTGATTGATGAAGACTACGTTTACTCTTGCGAACTCTATGGGGATTTGTGTGGAGGAAGATGAGAAGAATGAAGAGGGGTGCTCTATTTATAGAGTTTATGGGGAGTTGATTTGGAGTATCTTTTTCTGTTATGGAAAGGATTTGATTGGATTAGAATCCCACTAGGAGAAGGAGAGGTAAAGTACCGGCCAAGATATGATGTGCGATTTCCTTTACCCGAATTGAAATAGGATGGCGTGATTTAATATTGATGTGAAAAGGGAGAATGGCAAGTTTGATGGCCTTAATGTCCGAGTCCATGGAGGCAAGGAAAGAAAATTCTTCTGTTTTATTTGGCCCATTTCAGGTTGCCGTAGGTGCTCAACACGGAAAGGATAAGGTGCGGCCAAGACGGACAAGGACATTGAGTAACGAATTGGCTTATGCAACTGCATAAGTGTGGGCCGTCCTTGCTTGAAATCGTTTGCTATAGTTTGATAGTGTTTGGCCACGAGGCCAGGCGTGAAGAGGCAGGTAGATGGGGGACTTGCCGCATGAGAGCTGAAAAAAAAAAAAAAAAAATTTTGCGGATCCCTTCGCTGTCTTTTGTGGCCAAGGTAACTAGAAGAATAAAATGTGAATAATTATGTGGCCCCATTCTCGCATGAGGCTTTATTTTGACTTGATTGATAGAAGATGGACAAAGAAGCAGTTATGGGGGCATGGCAGCTTGTGGTCCGAGAAGACCAGCTTGGGATTAGCACGCCATGTAATGACAAAATTTACAATCCAATGCCAACCTACCACGTCTAATGCCATTGGTAATTAGTCAATCTTTGTTGTATTTTAAGGTGGCTTTCTTATAAAGCATGAAAAGAAATGGTGATGGCTGTACAAATTAAAGCCAAATTGGATTAAGGATGGTGGCGGTGTGTAGTTGGATTTTTAGGCGTGGTAATGAAAGTTGACACCAACTACTTAGTTCATAATTCTTATGCACTAAGTAGTTGGGGGGCATTTGTTTACACTACAAAAATAATCGTGTACCGCATTGATTATTTACAAGACATTAACTGTCTTTATAAGGCCAGATCAACAATAACAATTAATGTTATTTAAACTGGGCCTACGATACTAGATTTTTAAACCCAAACGATTAGGCCTGACATGACGCGTGAGAATAAACTAAGTCTGGTGCCTCATCGCGTCAAGCCTCATCGCGTAGAGTTGGTAGACCGCCTTGTCGCGACAAACCTCCTTGTTTAAACACTTCGCGAGTCCGCCAAACCTCTACTAAGTCTAAGCGCCAAGCCTCCTCACGTAGAGCTTGGTAGATAGCCTCGTCGCGACAAGCCTCGTCGCGTAGAGCTTGGTAGATAGCCTCGTCGCGACAAGCCTCGTCGCGTAGAGCTTGGTAGACCGCCTCGTCGCGACAAGCCTCCTTGCGCCAAGTTTGGTAAACCACCTCCTAGCATTGTCATCATGTTTGACGAGCCGCCTCGCCGCGAGATCTGGCATAGCCATGGTGAAGGAAAGGGCAAGTAACAAGACGTCAGTTCCAAAAGGGAGAGTCGACGGTTTGATTGAGAAACTGTCAATTACTCCACGTTCAAGGACACGTCAGCCACGTCCGGGAAAGAAGGGAAGCGGTTCTTTTTGGAAGTTACTCTCCAGACAGTTTTCTACGACGGTTATCACCTCAAGCCTATAAATAGGAGGAAGAGTTGTCAGAGGAAAGCCCGCAAAAATCACCACTCGACATCATTTGTCAAGTTTTACCAATTTTATCTTTCTCCTGCAACTTTTATCAGTAGTCGTAGATCTGGAGCTCTCTCAGAACCTCCATAGGAGTAGGAGTAACTTAATGTAGATCTGTCTCGAGAGTCGTGTAAACATCGATCACCCTCGTTCGAACTGTGTTTGAAGAGGTGTGAACTGTGTTAAGTTAATCGTTGTCCGAAGAAGTCAAGGTGCATTCAATTCATTTCAACGCAAGTTTTCTCGCCGGAGAACAGAATGCCTCCTGAAGATATGGATCTCAGATTCTTGAACCCCACCACTGTAAGATGTGTTAGGGACGGTGGCAGCAGCAGCAGGCGGCTTCCTCCACCACCATCATCGTCGTCTGGAAGGGAGCTGACCATGTCCGTTGCAGGGTTTGGTCCGATGATCGTGAGCTGGTGGAGTGAAGTTAGAGTGTAGAGCCTCCACTCTGAGATGGGTTGTCTCAGAGCGGGGCACTCGTCGACCAGAAGGAAGTCCAGGCTAGAAGGTAAGCCTCGTCCACCATGAGTAAGAAGCTCCAGATTCCCGCATCCGAATATGTACAGACTTCGAAGCGAGGTGAGCGTCTGCATGGCCTGATCAGGAAGACTGGTGAGGTTCTCGCAACCCCAAATGTGGAGCTCAGTCAAGGCAGCACTGGGAGTGGACAGCAACAGGTTCCACTGGTACAAGTCTGGAGTGCTTTGCACGTCGGGGCTGTCTCCCATCACGAGCCTGGTGAGCTGTGGGAGCTTGCTCTGCTGCAGTCGTTGCAGTAACAGCGAGGTCCATTTCGTTATCTCGATGTACTTAAGCGACTCTGGGAACTCCCCTTTCGGGATCCATGGCTGCTTGAGGGACACAGGCATCTCGATAGTCAACTTCTCGAGACGAGCATTGTGACCATGAGGGACCACGGGTAATGACTCTAACGAGCCACAACCTTGGATGGCCAGCTCCTGGAGCCCTCCAGGTAACTCCCCACCGCCACTACTTGAGGAAAAGGATGCCAAATTCGAGCAGTCGAGGATGTGTAATACACTGAGAGAAGTAAGGTTGTCGAAATGGGAGGCCAACTTCTTCAGGTGATGACAAGCTCTTATCTTCAGAGTTTCGAGGCTGCGAGGCAATAAGGTCTCAAGTTCGAACCCTGTCAACGAGACGAGCGAGGCACAATCCAACACCGCTAAGCTCGTTAGACTAATCGGATGAGCTGGATTGCTTGTACCATACCACAAACATTCCAGGTTGGGGCACCCTCTGATCTCCAGATTCTCTAGTGTGGGCAAGTCTTGTAGGAATGTTTCGTCCAAAGTTACAAGTCCTGCAATCCTCTCTATCCTGCAGGTAACAAGAGAAGGTAATACAACATTACCGTCATACACATTACTTGCTTGGAGAATTATTGCTTGGCATCCTCGAATGCATAGTTCGTTGAGAGATGGAAGATTGGTAGGGAATCCAACCAGGTTGGAACATTCGACTATCACGAGCTTCTTCAGTGATGCAAGTTGTCCCAAGTGAGGCAAGGATGTGATCCGCTGACAATGGACGAATGATAGGGTCATCAAGTTAGAGAATGATGAGTCCCCCATCCATCCTGGTAGTTTCGAGCCACCATAGCTGTGAATCTTGACTCCCAAGACATCGACATGTGGCTCGAGTGACTCGAGTACCTGGAAATCGATGGTTTCATCACGGGACGAATCATCAGGATCACCAGACCAATCGAACACCAACCCTCCAATCGCCTTCTTCGCCTTTAGACCCACAAGCTCTGCGTACCTAGCATTCAACACATTATGGAGCCCTTCTATTAAGAACGAACCTTGCAATGGATTAAACTTGGACAACTTAGATATCGCAATGCCGTTTTCTGCTGCAGATACCATGAACACGGGAAGGAACTTGAGCATTGGCAGATTGAGCACCTCGATTGGTATCTCCGACAGTTTACTTGCTCCTCTGACATCCAGACATTCTAAGTTGATCAAGTCACCAAGGCTCAAGGGCAAGGTACTTAACTCTCGGCACCCTTTTAGTAGCAAAGTCTGCAGATTGAAGAGCTTGCCTGTCGATTCTGGCAATGTTGCGATATCGGTGAAGGACAGATTCAGCATGCGCAGATGCTTTAAGCCACCAATCGTATCAGGCAACTCCTTCACTTTGTAACGAGCAAATGACAAGACCCTCAAGCGTTTCAGCTTGGGAACAAAGTCATGAACCACCTTCGTTGATAAGTAATAAGAGTTGGAATGCTGTGACAAGCCAACAGGGAGAAATGTGCGCAATTGCTTGGTCTTCTCCAGTATCCCAAATCTCAGCCAACTGTCATAGTATCGTTGTGCAAATGCCAGGTGCCGAACTCTGGATTCATCGCAGTGTGAATCATCCAAGTTCGAGCAGATGCCAGAGCTCACGAATCGTGCCAAGTCGCTGATCATGTCGTGCATCACGTACTGTGATGCGGTGTTGGCACCAGATTGTTCAAAGAACGATCGTGAAATGAGCACACGAAAGTACTCATGCCCCAGTTCTTTCGGGTGCTTGCTGTTATTCTTTGGTTGTTGTTGCAGGAAGCCCTCAGCCATCCACAGCAGAACCAACTCTTCCTCATCAAACACATAACCCTTGGGGAACACGGCACAGTAAGCAAAGCACAGCTTCAAATGCGAAGGAAGATGATCATAGCTAAGCATCAATGCAGGAAGAATGTTGGTCTTCACCACAGAAGACTCCCACAACGAGCTCCTCAACACCTCTTGCCACACATCGACATTATGCTCGCCTCGTAGAAGCCCTCCGATGACCTTAGCTGCTAAAGGAAGCCCTCTACATTTTCGAACAATCGCCTTCCCATACTCTTCCAAACCGGGATGGACATCAAAGTTCGATGCGTCCAGAGCATGGTAAAGAAACACAGACAAACAGTCATCATACTCGAGCTGCCGGAGGGCATAGCCCTGATCACCTGCAGGCGTGCCAACCATTTTCGCCACATCTTGAAGACGAGTGGTGACGATGATCCTGCTCCCCGGTGCCCCGAATTCGAGAGGGTTGCAGAGGAGAGTCCAATCTGTGTACCTGTGTGTCCAAACATCATCTAGTACAATCAGAAACTTCTTCCCCAACAGCTTCTCCTTCAATTTCAGCTGAAGGAAGTTCAGATCCTCACCACCTCGTGGGGAACCATCAAGAATCGTTCTGGTTATCGCTTCTGGGTCGAAATCTCCACCCAGAGATACCCAAGCTTTGAATGAGAACTCCGATGACAATGATTCATCGTTGTAAACCAGTTGTGCTAGACTAGTCTTTCCAATACCACCCATCCCAGTAATAGAAACTACATTGAATCTCTTCCTTCCATTATTTTCTCTTTCTCCTTCTTCCATCCTCAACAGCTCCATTACGGCATCTTTATCCTTATCCCTGCCCCAAATCGTAGCCTCATTGACCAGTGAAGTCGTCGGCGGCGGCAGCTGCTTCTTCTTCTTCTTCTTCAAGCTCTTCCCCTTTCCTGCTACAGTCTCGCCCAAACCCAACACATTTCTCTCTTCAATTAGCTGCTGCAATCGACCCGAAACCTGCTCGATCTTCGAATCCATCTCGGAATTGAAGCGGAACCCGGAAATTGAAGGGAGGAACTTCCTTATTACCTTGCTTCTCTTCTTCTTCTTCTTCTTCTTCTGATCCGGTTCCCGGCGGCGTTGAGCTTCCGCAGCGAACTCGTCGAGCAAGTCGTCGACATCGAAGGCCAAATCGTGGAGCTTGCTCACCCATTTCCCGACGAACTCGTTCTCGAGCTTCTTTTCGTCGGCGTCGTCGAGCACGGCGTGGATGGCGGCGAGCATGCCTTCCCATTTCTTCAGCTTGTTGAGGACTTGGGTCTCGCGGACGAAGTTCAGGGAGCTTCGGGACGCGAGCTTTTCCATGAGCTGCTCGAAAACGGCGGAGAGTAGTGCGGTTCCGATGACTTCCATTGTTAGCGGTGTATGAATGAAAGAGAATTTGACGACGACTGAGCAAGCAAGGGAGGAAGTCGGAGATGGAATGGAAGTGATGGTACACGCGGACGCGGGTAATGGAGTTGACCGGCGGGAGACGACGACGATATGAAAGTCTTTTCTAGATAAATGAAAAAGAAAAAAGAAAAATGAACGAGTCAACAGTTGTTGAGGATATGGGCTGGCAACAGATTGGGCTACTATCTAGAAAAGGGCCATAAAAGTCAGAGACCAGCGAATCCAATCGTAGTGTTCAGATTAGAACCCGTTGCAATACTATATCAATCGATCACTAAATTTATCAGAATGCTCTTGTTAATAATAAATCATTCAAAATCAAAGGAACAAACGAAGATTTCATAAAGCATATCTAAAATTGCAATAAAAAATCCTTCTTAACAAAGTCAATATAAATGAGCATCAATCTCGAATCTACTAATAAAGTACATAAAATACAAGGAGTGTCTCCCATCAATTTGAGCACGTCGAATGGTATTTCTGTCAGTTTACTTGATTCTCTAGCATCCAAACATTGTACGTTGATTAAGTCGCCACGGCTCGAGGGCAAGCTGCACAACTCTCAACACCATTTCATCAATGAAAGTCTACAAATTGAAGAGTCTGCATATCGACTGTAGAGACGTTCCAATTCCAATGAAGGATAGATTAAGAATGTGAAGAGAGGGGCAAGTAAGAAGATAGTGATACTAGTAATGCATAGTTGATAACATTCAACACATAATTCAAACTTTAAAGATTTCAGTATTATTATAAAAAAAATGAAGTTCAATACATTTATAGGAAGGAGTTTGACAACTTAACACATTGATCAAATGTATGTGATCAACTTGTCTAGGTTACAGTACGAATATCCACTTTCTTCGACGCCACCTCGAGCTATCCCCGCATTTTCAACAATCGATTTCATAATCTTGTCTCCCCCCCCCCCTCAACTCCCTCCATAATCTTGTCCCCCCCCCCCCCATCAACTCCCTCCTTCTCTTTTCCACCCGTCGATCCATCTCACGTGTCCTTCATATCAAGATCAATCCTTCGTCAAATTAAGAACCTCGAAGGGAATTTCCCTCAGTTTACTTGATCCACTAATATCCAACAAATTCTAAGTTGATAAAGTCGACAAGGCTCGAGGGCAACCTGAACTACTCTCGACGCCCTTTCAGCAACCAGGGGCGGAGCTAGAATTTAAAGTTCGGGGGGGCCGAATTTTTTAATACGTTTTATCGTAAAATTAAAAAAATAATATAAATGTTACATTTCAAATTATTATTTAAGATAATTATTAGCACTAAAACTATGATTTGAATTAAAAATTGGGCAACGATATGTTCAACATTAGTAAATAAATTGTCTAACAAAAAATAATCATCATTATTTTATTTGTACCATTTTCTTCAATGTTATTATAACAAGACAAAATCCAAAATTACATTTGAAGATATAATGCAGAAGTTGATGAATTTAATTTACTTGAGACATTGGAAAAAAAAAGGTAAGGCCAAAAACAGTAAAATGTCTTGTTGTGGTGTATTGAACCCACGTCCACTGACTTAAATGATCACCACTTTTCCACTAGACTAATCGAAACATAATTACATCTAGTTGCACAATTGCGGTATTTATATATATAGGTTAATTAATACGTAATTTCAAAATTCTCGCTGTACTTATACGCGGTTTTCAAAATTCTCGGGGGGGCCGGGCCCCCCTAACCACCAACATAGCTCCGCCCCTGTCAGCAACAATATCTATAGATTGAAGAGTTTGCATGTGAGCATGCCGACCCTAGAGATATTATGATTTTAATGAATGAAAGATAGATTAAGCATTAAGAGTTGATAAAATCCGCCACATAATTCAAGATTGTAAAGGTAAACTCTTATGGATAACAAAAAAAAGTTGAAGTTCAATTGAAACGAATGAATTAGATAACCTAACACATCGATCGAATGTATACGATCAACTTTTCCAGATTATGGTACGAAGATCCACCTTCCTCGACGCTGCCACGAGCCATCCCCGCCATTTCAATAGTCGATTTCATAATCTCGTCCCTCCTCCCCTCCATCAACTCCCTCACAGTCTTTTCCACCGTCGATCTGTCCCACGTGTCCTTCATATCAAGCCCAATCCTCCACACATCACTAACTGCCCTACTATTAACCTGCTGGTCACTCAACCGCGGCCAACAAGCCATCGACACTCCCGCCAGAACACTCTCCACCGTCGAGTTCCATCCGCTGTGAGTCAAAAACCCACCGACCGCTTCATGGGCCAGAACCTCAACCTGCGGGGCCCAGTCCACCACACAACACCTACTCCCATCACGGGCTGCCCCCGATTTCAAGCCCGAAAGAACTTCCACGGAACTCGGAACCTCATCTTCCCCCAACACAGAGTCGGATCTCACGACCCATAAAAACGGCTTCCCGCTGTTCACCAGTCCGTGCCAGAACTCGACAAACTGGGCCTCGGTCAGCGCGACCAGGCTCCCGAAGCTGACGAAGATCACAGATCTGGACGGCTGGGAATCGAGCCACGTCATGCAGCTCCTGTCCTCTTCCTTAAGCCCGCCGTTTGAGGCGGTTAGAGGCTCTTCTTCTTTCACCACGTTGCTCAGCAGGCCGTGCAATGGGCCTACGGGGAAGATTTTGGGGAAGATGGTGGAGAGCCTGGAGATCAGTGGGCCTTCCAGCCCGTCAAACGTGTTGAGGATCAAACCGGAAGCCCGCCTCATCGATTCGGTTTCCCTGAGGAAGAAATTGAGGATCGGCGGCGGAGTTCCGTGCCTGCATATGCTGGGGAGGTCCCGTCGGCGTAGGATTCCTTCGAGCCCGGGAATTGAAGTGATCGGCTGGTCCATGTCAGCATCGGCTGCGAATTTAAATCACGAAAAAATGAATATATGAAAAAGAGACGCCACGTGGATTTGAAATGCTGTAAATTTAATTTAACTAATTTATTTGTTTTTATTACCAGGGATGGGGACCACCCGCTGCTCGATAAGGTCACGGAGGTGGAAGTAAACCCACGCGCACACGGCGCTGAACGTACGAAACGCGATGACCGGAATCCCGAGCTCCACCGCCACATCAAAGCCCAACGACATGATTCCGTCGGCGATGATGCACGTCGGGGAGAGTTCCGCCACCAGCCGGCGGAAATCCGGCTTGGAGTTCCGGATGGAGTTGAACAGCTCGCGGACCGTGGAGATGCTGGACTGCTGCTGCTCCCGGTCGTGTGGCACGGCGTCCGGGAGGGACAGGAAGGTGAATCCGGCGGGGAGGTCGCCGGCGGCGAGAGTTCGCTGGAGGAGCGCGTGGTTGTGCTCGGTGTTGACGAAAGTCGCCTGGAAACCGCCCACGTGGCAGAGGAGCTTCGCCAGCATGAACATGGGCTTGACGTGTCCCTGCGCCGGGAACGGGAGGAAGACCACGTGCGGCGCCACCGTGGGTTGGCGGTCCATTACTACTGCTCGCCGGGAGTTGGCGGTGGATGTGTTTTCCGGTATACGGACAACAAACAACCGTTTGGTAGATGGAAATGGAATGGTACCAAAATTCACAGGACAAACTCGCCACTTATAGTATTATTACATCACTAGTCTCTATACCGGCCGATCGGCATCTTGAATTCAGTTTTCAGCCGACCGATGAACATCTTGTGTTTTATAATGATGCCAAATCCACTGCCATCGACGCTGATCTCATGCACCGTCTTCTTTCTCCATCCACGTGTCCCTTCATGTCGATTGTCGAATTTCGAAACATTATCCACGTCGTCGTGCAGCGCTTGTCTTCTTCCCGGCGGTGTACCGGACGGTAAAAAATAAATAAATAAACAGACAAACATCTAATTTATAGAGTATATAATTTCTTGTTTTTCATAGCCAGCAATAAATTTGTGTATTATACTATTACTAGAGATTATTCTCGGACGGTGACACACACCTCCCCTTAACCCAGCTCCGCACTGTCAAGAGGGTTCTTGGAATTTCTTGCCGGCATAGGCTTGGAAGATTCTGCCGGCGAAAGATCCCTTCTAGGCCAGGCATGGAAGTGTATCCGCTCGTCTCTTTGTCGGCATCGACCGCAGACAAGTTGGAAATGCCTATATGTGGTCTACAAATGTTGACAAGTTGGTGGCCTACTACCTTGCTGGCCTTGAAGAACCGTACCATTTCCAAACCTTTCCCATCCAAGTAGATAGCTTGGACGAGAGCAGTCATGGAAAGCTTCTGACGAGCTGAATGGCTAGCACAATCACGAACATTCTCAGCTCATCTCGTCGGGAGTGTACGTCGTACCCTCCCGACGAAACCCCCGTTCCAGAATCTCTAACCCTGCTGCAGAAACAGAGGCAGAGGAAGGAATGGTTTGTGTACATGGGAGGATGGAGCAGAGTGTAACAAACTTTGTTTTCAATGCAAACTGCAAGTCTGCCTGCCCACACATTGATATTTGTAGAAGGAAACAATGTACAACAGTACAAGGCATGTTCAAACTAATACGGCACCCTAAGCTTTCTCTATATATATATATATATGAAATCTCTTAGCACCCTAAGTAAGCAAGCCATTGCAGGGAGGAAAACGGGCAAAGCTAATACAAAGCCAGTGCGCAAGATGAGAATTTACGGATAGACTCGAAGAAGCAGAGAAGAAGAGCCATTAACATATACAATACAGTGTTTTTCTTTCTGTTTTTAGGCTTGCCTTATGAGGAAGGGTGGTAACAGATTACTTAGAGCACAAGTGATCCTTTCTTTTCCAGTTGCAAGCTTTTCATTCTTCTTTCTCTGCTACATGGTGGCGAGTTTGCCAGGCTGATGAGTACGTGGAAATGGCTGACCCGGTCAAGCTCAGTGAATGTGTGGCGACGCCTACGCTCTTCTTTGTCACCAGCCAGATGGTCCAGAAGAATCCGATCCAACCTGACCAAGAAAAGGGAACAACAAGACAGCCGAATCAAAAACCAAATCAGACAGCAAAAGGAATCTACGCATAAGGGAAAACTAAACTTATAGTCCCAGATTTCATGTCTAGGAGTAGGAACGTTTTATGTGGTACTATCCTATTCCTTCCTCATTTTTCATGTCTGGCACAATGATAATAGTTGGGACTGAGACTGAGGCCCTTAGTACAGTACGGTAGGGGATGATCCAAGTTGTGGAGTCAAGGCCTCCTAGTTTATTGAGTGGATAAGCCAAGGGCCCCGAACACTTCCCTTATATAAGGGTTCCGTAGCCCTCCAAGAAAGTGATCCTTCTTTCTTGGTGTTTATACTACATCCTCTCTTCGTTCATCACTTTAACCATATGTCACTCTATCTGCATTCGCTCTACAGTCTAAACGTCATAATTCTAACTGACTTGAGGAGCGGAGTGCAAATCAGGGGCCTTCTTGGCCTCTCCAAGGGGTGACATCCCCATCTAAGGAGATTGTTTGCATGAAGCCTGGATTGGGATTAGGACCTGTAAATGTTCGGTTCGATCCTTTGATTGGAAACCAGGTGTTATTATGCAGGGCAGCAGGGAGACCAGCACAGTGGTAAGGTAGGTGAACTATGACAAAAAGATTCTGGTTAAGCTAGTCTAGATCATAAGCTAGTCTACCAGCACAGTGGAAAGGTAGGTGGAAGAGTAACTGGCCCTAGACAGAACAAGGAAATTGGTTGATAGAGTCCCATTTCATTGGCGTGTTACACATCAAACTAAGGGACAAGTCTTGCAGAACAAAGTTCTCACGGTCATCTTGACATTACTATCACATGTTGGTAGCAGCACAAGCAAGAAAGTTTGGAAATTTAACTATGCATTTGGAAGAACATTGGTTGGTTTAGTGCTGCAGAGTAATTAAGAAGACCCCAAGTCTCAAGCCAAGCAAAAGATCTGAGGATGCTTTATGTAGATAGATAATAGAATGAAGAAGTTTCATAATAGTCCACTCACCTGTAGCCACCGCGACAGCGATGATTGCTGAGATCGTTGCAGTCGAAATGGCGAATATCGCTATCGATAACGCCCCAATGTAAATAGCAGCCAGACAGGTGAAGAAGAGAGCCAAGAAGCCTCCGGCAGCAGCCAACGACATGAGAAGAGAGATAACAATGGCGTTGATGGTGGCTGCCAGGAAGAACAGCATGAAGACCAGTATCCCCGTCATTGCAAGAAGAGCAATCGTCCCGACCTGTTGCAGTTTCAGAACATGAATAACAGTCCATAATAAAACAATTCAAGGTACAAATTGATGGCACAAATTAACCGGAAGAAGACAAATGAAGCAATGCAATCCACACTGAGTGCAATCTAAGAAGAAACTATGAACACTTCAACCTCATTCAGCAAGTGTAATCTGAAAAGAGTATCTCCGCTCCGTTGAAGGTTAATAATAGCACAAGCTTCAATGAATTGAAATCAACAAAGAATCGGCGATGGAAAAACAAATCAAATCACAAACTCTCCACAGTAACACCTAGAAAGGAATTCGGCAAGCAATTTCTTGCAATCAGAGAAAACAAACTAAAAGGCACAGAGCGAGCGAGCGAGCGACCGAGAGAAGTAGAGCGAGAGAGGGAGACTCACGGAGATGACGAGCAGAGCGCGGAGATGGCTGCCGTTCCGAGTCCAGACCAGAATCTTCCGTCCGGTGTTAGTAGTCGCGTCCTTCAGCAGCGGTCCGTTCTCCGACAGCGACGCCTTGATCCGCTGCAGCAGCGGAGCGGGATCGCCACCGTCGGCCGGTGCGAAGATCGACGACACCATGCGCTGGAGGACGGCATAGAGAGTCAAGCCTTCGCGGTCGCCGCCGCCGCCGCCGATGTGGACGGAGCGGGAACTGGCCTTGTCGGCCGTGTCGGTGCCGTTGATAGACGACGAGGTTGCTTCCGATTCGCCCATGGTTTCTGTGCGTTCTGCGCGGTGGTCAGTGAGAGGAGGTGAGACTGTAAGGAAGCAGCGCAGGTGGCGAAAGGGAAGTGGACAGGTGGAGCCGCCAGAGCGATCGTCATCGTTTAGGGAGAGATTATCCCCCGAAAAGTAATCATGGAATTAATTACAGGGCCTATCTACTTTGTAGTCGGCTGCCTGTATTTGGTTTGTTTAGTAGAGTAATGAGTAATAATAATGACATAGCCAAATTAATTGTTGGACTTTGGTTAAATCCATATTTAGTACTTGCGACCTATTCCGAACCAAATTGGAGAAACGAAAACGTTCGTTTGTTCTAGACAGTTAAACTTTTTTTTGCACCATTGAAGGAACGATTTTGATTAGCATAATGTGAAAAAGAAAATAACGGCTGAATGTTAACAAGCTTACAACGATGAACCTCCACTAGCGAAATGAACTGAAATTTCTTACGACCTCGATGACTAGTAAGTTCCTGTACTTGCCACTGCAAGTAAAGGATGGTGGGCATTCTGGTCAAAGATCGAGTCGAAAGAAACAGAGAGGATGAAAATCATGCAAAAAACCATTAACGTCTGCTTCAATTTTGATTAGTTAGACAAATAATCTCAATGATACGACCCTTAGCCCAGATTTTGAAGTCAAAAGCATTTGAAACCATATTCTTGTGTTGCAAGCAAAACCGCAAACTTCGAGCCGGTTACTCGCATTATTCCCTCACAGAGATTCATGGCACAACATAAATTTTCACAATTCTCACGACGAATTATATAGACCTAACTCCTAAACTGATAATACTGGCAACTCCATAACTGATGAAGCTTTTTGAGGAAGAAACTATAGTGAGAGGCACCACCTGAGGGTCATCTCCCAAATCGGCTTTCTGCCAGCTCTCTCCGTCGCCACATTCATGGATTTAGCAGGGATTCCTTTAGCCCGGAATGCAATGTACATACAAGACTCGTGGACTGACACGTCCGACCAGCTAGTTTACAACACAAGGTCTTCCATCATGTAGCAGAGTGTAGCTGTGACAGTAGAGACAAGCTGTAAGTTATAATAACATACAATAAACGCTTAACCAGAGGACAGAAGCACTTGCCAACAGTCAGGGGATGGAAAGCCCTTGCTTCTGTTCTTCTCAAACTATTTTCTAGAGGATTACTGTCTGATAACCAAACTCGCCTAGATGCATAGCCGTACACTAAATTCGGTAATTAGAGAATTAAAGCACCGGACTATACTAATTGTTTCCTTCGTCATTTATGTCACTCTTGCTGTCCCATTGCTCATGTGGCATCCATCGTATGCCAACTTGAGCAATATCAGCAACATAAGCATCTGATGGATGGAGGAACCAAAAATGCTAGTGGTGACTTATTAGATCAAGTTTGGTGCTTTAACTATCGCAGTACCGAGTTCAGTGCCCAGTATGATACTAATAGGCGAGTTTGATGACCAAACTGGTATTCAACTGTTGACAGGGTCTAGGACTCGATGAACTGGTGAAAACAGAATCTTATCCCAGATAGGAATGTGCGAACCATTTGACTGTTCTCGATCCTAGCATGTTTATCCTAGAATTGTCAAATAATTGCAAAAGACAAAAAGCTAACAATACGAACCATGCAGACCAGGCACCATCAGAGGAAATGACTGGCCATCAAAAGTTGTGGTTTCTCTTTCTCTTCTTCAACCTCCTCCGAAGCTTCGGATTTTATTTCCTCAACTCTTTCATCCCAAATATGATCCATTAGCTTCCATGTTTCATCGCTGATGACTTGGGTCTGCACATTCAGGAAATTCGATAAACAAGAGGCAAGCAAATTCAGCAATATTGGAAAGGGGGGAAGAAGAGGTCTATATTTTTTAGGAGTTCACGCAAAGGGTAAGATCTCTTCTTTTACCTCAGTGGGCCGGGGAGCGCCAAATGTTGCAAACCCGACATTGCCTGGGGCAAATGTGACCCTACCAGGAAGACTGATGCCGTGAAGCCCCCATCGGCCAGCGTAAATGAGGGCTCCGTGTTCATCAATGGGATTCACCTTAGGCTGGAAGTTGGAGAAAACATAGAAAAATTCACAACCAGTGCACCATACAATGCTGTATCCAGAAAAGAAAGGATCATTTCCAGAGTGGTTCCCATGGCTCAGGTAGCATCAATTCATATAGCCAAGACAACAGGCACCAAGGATATTCCAGGTATCGAAATTTAAGAGGTTGAAAATGCAGTTTTTTTTCTTTATGCTGGAGGCGAGAGAGCAAAGTTGTAAAATTCTGGAATAAAAATCAAAAGCTAACTAAGTAAAGACTGAGCAGAAGACAAAAAGAAGAAAACAGTGAATCTAATAGGCAACAACATCTTCTTTCCCCTTGCTCCATAGGACTGGGAAATTCGGAACAGTCAAACCTCTGAAAGTCTAAGCATTGCTGGCATAATTTGGCAGGCACTGAATTTCTACATTCTACTCTATTAGTAGTTTAATTTTACTTTCACTAGACACTAGGTTTCCCTACATGAACGTCATGGTCATGACAATGCAATAATTTTAAAGAGGATATGAAGGTTGTGGACTGATTCTTTGGATTCTAAAATCAGCTTTAAGATAAAATGCTCAATGCCATGGTCAAACTTACCTGAGGGATTCTTGGAGCACTTTTGTACACGTTCCAGATTTCAGCAGCTTTCATCTCTCCTTTCTCAAGTAAAATATCTGCAGAAGACAATAGGATGAGGCCCGATATTCTATGATTCGATATACCAACATGAACTCCTAGAGCATATATCTCAATTCTCAACTGGCAAAGTACTCAGGTAGAAAACAATGACCAAGAATATGTTTTCGTTGCAAACTTTTTTTATCCCACCCTTTATTGTTCCTGTATAATGAAAAATATGGATGGAGAATGCCCATTTCTTCAATTTCAATCATCACTCTCATAACATATTCTAGATCTAAAAAATCATCATTAATCACTATCAGGCCACAACAATTTGATGGAAAGCGAATAGAGAATATACAAAATTACCTGTAATGGTCTCCACAGCTGAATGGTATTCTCTCAGCACAGAATAACACATATCGTAAGCATAACGCATGTACTCGTCACGAAGTGCTTCAAGTTTGGCTGCAAGCTATTTCCAATAGTTGAAATTACTAAATAATTCTACGTCATCATTCCTCACAGCACTCTTAACAAGAATCCAGCATTGAAAAGAAAAGAAACAGAGACAATACGTTGGGCACAAGATCACTATGATTTCTGTAGTACGCTTTCCCAAATGCTGTCATTCCAGTCTGGAGAATCAAACGTTCAGCACGCCTTGAAGCATCTAATGAAGCCTTTGCAGAGATCCAACAAAGGTTGTTTACACCAAACATTTCCTCCTCGATTACCCTAGCTACAAATGGTAGCAGTTCAATGCTCTTAAATTCGGTATGAACCCAGGATTGGGCAAGGGAAAAAGTATAGAAACAGAATAAAGGCAAGCAAGTATATGAAGAACTTACGTGCACATGCACGCACTATATCATTGATATAATCAGCTTTTTTGGCAAATACCCTGCCAGCAGTTTCTTCATATTGCATATTTGGCCGGTCACGGATAGAATTTATATGTGTCTGCAGAACATACAATTAAATAAAGAAACACAGCAACATAAGGCACTTTCAAGACAAGGAGAAGAAAAAAAAAATGGGACCAAGGAATATCGAGTGAAGCATTGACCTCTGTGAAAGGACGATAGGGATTAGGCAAGAAGCATGCAAGTACTGCAACAGCTGCTTCACGGTAAGCTAATCTTAATCTTAATTCTTCAGGAACTTCAGTACTGTCTTCTTGGCCAGTTTCAAATGTACCCATTTGCTGCAAAATGCATGAAGCAAAGCATAAACGATACTTTGCATGAATAACAATTGCCAAATGATCCTCGAATGATATTTTATTATAAAAGGATAATGAACAAACCCTTTTCAGAGCCTCAATTAGTTCTTCGCGTCCGATATAGTCTTTATCTTTCCTAGCAGTCAAAATCCCAGCTTCATTCCTGACATTCAGCAAAGGAATCATGAGGATGTCTTTCACTTGATAACATGTAAAAAAATAAAAACTAAGCATTAGCTATCAGGCATTCATTACAGTATATTCTGAAGCTCTGCCCCTGTAAAAGCTTCCGCAAGTTCTGCAATCTCCTGTAGGAGAGTGTCCTTTTCTGCCTCTGATTTGAAGAATTTGTTTCTTGCATGCACCTGCAAAATGAATTGTTTTTTTTTTGTTTGCAAAATGAATTGTTAAGTAAAGTTAAATGTAATATATATTTGACCAGCAATAACACATCATAGGCTAATCATATGAGATAAGATTACCTTAAGTATAGCTAATCTACCATCTTTTGATGGCAAACCAACTCTTATGATCTTATCAAAGCGACCTTTTCTCAGTAGAGCAGGATCAAGTATGTCAAGCCTATTTGTTGCACCAATAACTAACACCTGAAAAACTAAATTCAGTACTTGATGGTGGGTGCAGATTTTCACTTGCCAATAAAAGCCCATGCATAATTGCTCACCTGTGATGTAAATTCCTTAAATCCATCCATTTCTGTCAGTATCTGAAGCAGGCCTTGTTCCCTCTCTGCACCACCCTATACAAAACAATTGATTTAGGAAGGATCTTATATTATATATTATCGCCACAAACTCTCATCTAAAAGCAAAAAAGAGAGCCAATGTCACCTTAAGACCAACTCAGTTATCTTACCCCTCCAATATCAGGGCCACCACGCTTGCTGCCAATAGCATCAATCTCATCAATAAAGATTATGGAAGGAGCGAATGATCGGGCACTGGCAAAGAGATCCTTGACACGGGATGCTGCCACACCTACAAACATCTAAAAGGTCAACCGTGTAAATTTGCTACTCAACTTAAAGCAGGTAGTTAGAATTGCCAAAACAGAAAAAACCATATCATGCAACCAAATGATTCAGCCTTGAATTCAGCACCTACATCCCAAAGCAATTGCGGCAGCATAATGCCAGAATCAATTTTTGAGCCAACACCATAAATCTTCAGCATTTTCAGATTGAGTGTGAAGTAAACCTAAATTTATTATAATTAACCTAAGTTTATCCATAGACTTCCAGCCTCACCTCCACAAAATCGGTACCATTGGCAGCAAAGAAAGGTAGGCCTGCTTCACCAGCAATAGCTTTTGCAAGCAGTGTTTTACCAGTACCAGGAGGACCGTGGAGAAGGACACCTTTTGGACAATATATACCCTTATCTTGAAATTCTTCATCATTTTTCAGAATCCGTACTATCTCTTGCAGTTCTCTCTTAATGTATTCCTGCCCAGCAAAATCATCGAAAGTAATGCCTGTAGTTTCTTCAGCTGATATAAACTTTGCCCTGGTGCAAAAATTAATGACGGTGAGGAGGCACTCAACTCCCAAATAAATAAACCCAAAACTATCTAAACTAACTTTCTATGAGAAATCTTTTCAACTTCTAAAACAACTGCATAGCGAAGATATCAGATAAGCTGAGAAATACAATCAGGTGTTTGAGCTGAAAAATGCTGAGTTCTTATGTTTGAACTAGAAGAATCAAATTTTCAATTGCAAACAGAGTTGAGAACACCTATGGCACCGTTCTCTTCATTTGATTTACCATCAAGAGATCAATAACCATTATACATTACAGGGAAAATAAAGCAAAGGAAACAGAAGTACACAATAAGGCTTACAACAATTATACTAAACAGCAGTGGAAGAAGCCACACATCTCCTTACCTACTCTTGCCTAGTGAACCAAGCGCCCGGCGTTTGAGTGGCTGCCTCGTCGTTGTGGGTGGCTTTCCCAAGTCACAAGGTATTAACTTTGCATAAATTGGTCTAGCCCAATTATCAACCCAAACATATACTGCAATTGAAAGAGCAAGCCGCATGGACCAGATGACAGCAGTTGCAACACTAGAGTAGACCTCTGCGTGAACTGTGTTCACGTTAAGTACATCAATATTTACAATCTGCTGGTGCAATTTCTGCCAAACATCATTCCAACAGTCAATTGGCATGCGATCTACCACATGACGCCTATATACGATCTTCTTTGGGTCCCGTTTTCCCGCTTCATTTTTATCATCTTTATAATATGGAAGAATAACTGCAGATACATCAGACAAGTTTCCATGAATACTCAGTCACACAACGCCAATGCAATCATTTCCAGAGAATATGAAGCAAAATATTCAGTTAATGAACAAACAATAACAGGATTACATATTAAATAGTTATACTAATGTCAGAACAAGAAAATGATAAAGTCTCTGTGTGTTTCGGAAAGGCGGTGAGGAAGTTTGCTATATAAATGCAAGAAGAAGTACATGTACGACCCAATAAGCTACACTACCCGGCCTCTTTAACAATGTAGTCATGTAAAGGGTTCATAGACCCGTATTTTCATTAGTGCTTAAGAACTCAAAAACAGAATTTATGAAAGTTGCCATCAGAGTAAACAACTGTGATCAGCATTAAGAAGAAAACCAGAAGAATCCTCCATAAGCTATTAACAAAAGCCTAGAAGCTAGTGTGAGTTCCATGAATTCAAATTCGTATTGAAGTAGTTAGTGGTAGCTTTCGTCAATGCATGTGAAACAATATCGAACCAAATAGGAAGACTAAGTTGATACAACTTTATCTCCGAGGTTATCAACAAACATTTCAACCATTAGCCTCAAAATTTCCATCTCCATTATTCTCCCAAACGAACCATGAGAACCAGAACTACTGACGTTTCAACTAGTTTCGCGCAAACCCAATTTCGTAATTTACTCGGGGAAATCGATAACCAAAACCAAAACACAATCTGAAGTTGAATACCTTACGAACCTGAAACAGTCTGGCCATAGTTGGAGTACTCCATGAACTGAACATTGTTTGAATTAAGAAGCCTCAAGAACTCGCTGAACTCGATCTTGTGAGAGTTCTCCGGATCCCATTCCGTCCCTCTCAACTTCCCTCGCATCGTCAGTAACGTCCTGCTCCATTCGGAAGCCATGACTAGCTGCCTTTCCAGCTGCAAATTCGATTTCCTCTCCAATTCCTCCAGCTCATTTATCCTCTCCCTCTCCGCCTCCCTCAACCTCTCGAACACCTGAACCGCTTCCTCATCTTCTTCCACTGAGTTGGCCAACGTAGAAACCGATGTAGACTCGGCAGCTGCACTAATTCCGATTCTGTTTCTGAACCCAAGAGCTCGGCGGCCATATTTGGAGCTCAATTGATACCTGAGCGACGGCTTAACGATGGAAAATTGAGGCGGGGAAGAGGAAGAAGAGTGAGAGACTACGGCGTTTGGCGGGAAGTGAAGGGAAATGAGAGGGCAGAGGCATTTCATAGTTTTTGTTCCGCTGTGTTCGAGCTAGGGACTGCGAGGGAAAACGAACGATGATTCTGCTTCTCTGGTATGAAGGGAATTGCTCAATTGCGGAGGGGAAACTCCATGGATTCTCTGGTTTTCGCTAGGTCGGTTGAGCTTCGAGGGGTTTTAGAGCACTGCTATGCTATGTGAATGTGAGCTAAAAAGTAAACCTCATCCAATTTTGATTATTAGGGTTTCATCCACCTTCCATTAATCTGTTTACAAAAAGGAAATTCCAAATTTATATGATTTGGGATTTTTCCCTTCTGAACACGCAAAATAAAAAGGAGGACGTAAAATGAAAATGTACAAAACGCTTCCTTTTTTCCCCTTTGCATTCTCGACCGGAAACAGAGGCTTCCCCTTATCCCCTCTACATCTCTCACCCCGCCGGTAGCAACGGGCACTCCAATGGCGGTCCTGAATTGCATTTCGGTCACCGCGTCTGCCACACCAGTGCCCCAAGACTCCACAAACCCAGCACAGCCAGCAATCCCCAGCCAAAGACTTCCGACCAAGGTCATCCTCCCCAAAAAGAAGCCGGAGAAATGGTCGACGGGGGTAGCTCCGGGGGATTACGGCGGTCCACCCACCACGACGAAGCTTCGCAAGTACTGGGGAGGGGAAGGCGAAGACCCTTTAACCTCCGACGAGTTCATTTGGAACAAGGACTTCATGGGCCGGATGAAGCGATTGATTCAGGACACTGGCGATGATGATGCTTCTCTTCGGTCCAAGGCTCCAGTTGAGGTTCAATGTTTGCTAAGTTGTTCGTTCTAATTGGTTATCGCGGTGTAGTTTGTTTGTCTTTGAACTCGTTATTGTTCTAGATATTTAATTGAATGGGTACCATTGCCGCACGGCCAGCTACCCAATCTAATAAAATCTGGTTCTTTGGCTAGGATTTCAATTTTTTTGGCTACTTTGTTGAGTCTGAATTCTAATGATGCTAGTATGTATTTGGTGGTGTAATGAACAGGAACAATCATCTGGGTTTCTAAGCTTCAATAGAGTGATGAATTTGAACAGGTGTGGATTCCACCATTACTCGCCATGTTTTGATCGATTTGCTTCATTTGGGAAACTTTTATAGTTACATTGATCTATTCACCTTTTGGCAAGGCAGCATGGAAGTTGATCTGAGCAAAGAGCTGGCAACACCTTCCAAGCCCATTGTAGAACGGCCAACTGAGACTGTAAAGAAAGTAAGATGGATGTTCTTGCTTTGTTGATAGTAGTACACTTGGTGCAAGTTCATCAGAACTCAATTCTCAATTAGCATTTTGATATCAGGCTACAAAAGGCACGTCGCCAAAATGGAGATTGGCACCAACACGCCGTGAACAGGAAAAGTGGGATAGAGCAGCTAAGGCTACAACTGAGGGCACCGTGAGTTTCTTCTCCATTGGTCATATTCATTTGTTCCAGAGTAGTGTGTGAGATTTTCATGTTTCGTCGCTGATTGTATTGCCACCCACGACTTTAGGAAGTCATGCTTCGTGAGGTCAGGAAGCCTCGAGGGGATCCAGAAGTGTTGGCTGCAGAATACAGGGCGCAGTACTTCAAGGTACTTGATTGTAGAGTCGTTTGGTGAAACTTCTTCTACATCTTCGTTATGCCATTTTCACATCATAATATGATCAGTTATGGTTCTGAGTTCTTGTGACGGAGCTTGTCTGCCTTTTTTTGTGGACAGCTGAAGGAGAAGTTGCAACTTCTTACTTTGGGTATAGGTGGTGTTGGGTTGGTTTCTGCTTATGTCTCTTATTCCACGGAAATCGCAGCTAGGTGAGGTTTGCATCATTACCATGTTGAATCAGCTGTCTAGTGTTTAAATGAATGTTTTTAAGACAATCAAAAAGCTATTCCTTTTGTCCCACGTTAAGTGAAATGCTGAGTTTGGTTTCTGCTTGTGCTTTCCCTTCTTCTCGGTGCAGCAATTTTGGTATGACATCCTGCACAGCAGAGTCTTGAGCTTTGCCTAAAAGTGTTTAGTGTTTAAGAATCATGAGATGATGGGATGACTTCCTGCACATAAAATAGTTGCTGAGATATTTGTTACAGTTTTCTAGTCAGTGTGATCAATAGATGCTTTACCTTTTCATGCAGCTTCGGTGTCGGATTGATGGGATCATTTATTTACATGCGCATGCTGGGGAACAGTGTGGACTCCATGGCAGATGGGGCGAAGGGATTCGTAAAGTATGTAAAAACTCCTATTTATTGTTGGATTTGCCTTCTAGTCTCTTTCCTTTTCGAAGTTTGCTTGTAGAACTACCTTTTCCCCCCATCTACGGCAATACCTACTAATTCATGTTATGGACAACTTCAATGCACTTCCCTATGAAGAAGCTGATGGTGATGTTGATACCATGTTTTCACAATTCACATTCATAAACCATTGTTTAAGAAACGTACATGATAAGTGAAAAACCCACTTGCTCACTGTGGAATGTTAATGCTGCAGGTATTTTAGTTTCAAAGTCTCAGAAAAGTATTTGTTTCTAATTTGAATTGCTTCCATGGACTTCAGAGCAACTTTTTTTTACTGCCTGTTGTATGGAGATCTTACTTCCCATTTTATTAGACCCAGCTGAATGATGTGATAGTAGGTCTTATTTCCTGAAAACGTTTCCTATTTTTGGCTCAAACTTAAGTTCTAAAGGAAGACATCAGAGAATTGTTAGTTGTTTCGATATAACCGAGGTGCTTGCTTTGCAGGGGAGCAGCAGCGCAGCCTAGGTTGCTTGTTCCAGCTGCTTTGGTCATGATCTACAACCGCTGGAATTTGTGAGTACATATTATTTTCCTGTGCCTATGTGGAACTTGGGAATGCATCTTCAGAACTCCTTGAGTGTGATTTTCTTCAAACAACCGCACACATTGAATTATAACTTCACGATAAAGACATTATCTTTGGCATTAGATAACAAGGACCTCAACGACGTTTGCAATTTCGGTTTAGAACATGCCTGATTAATGATTTTGCTTTGACTTGATGCAGTATTGTCGTCCCACAATACGGATATATGCACTTACAACTGATACCGATGCTGGTAGGATTCTTCACGTATAAGATCGCGACTTTTGTTCAAGCTATAGAGGAAGCACTCAAAGTACCCGACAGGCCTGAGTCAGAAGCTTGAGAGATGGCACTCTTCATTGGTAGGTTCGACAGTCATAGACTTACATCAGATGAATGTTCCGAAGAGCCATCTTTTGCCTTCTCCTCCATACCACTGCCTGCTTTCTCTTCTCGACGCATACCTCCCCTGTACAATCCCTCTTGTGTGCAGATTTAGCTGAAGCTCACTAGGAGACAGCTCTATGAACGAACGAGCTGCGTCACCTGATAAGCGTGTATCCTTGGGGAGATCCCTGCAGATTTAGCTGTATGACCATGATAGTCAGTATTGAAGTTGATGTGAATAGTTACCCTTGATGTGCAAGTAAAAACGGGCCTCGTTTATTTGTACATGTCCTACTGTTTCACTATATGGTAAGCTATGCTGTATATGTATGTCCACAGACTTGTAGAAAGCTGGAAACTTTACAATTCTCAGTATTCGACAATTTCTCATGACTTTAGCTACTCGAAAGGAGCTCTCGAGATTGCTCTGAAAAACAATGAAAATATGAATCTTTGAATAAGCAGGATGATAATCATCCTTCCACGGTCTAAGGCTTTGATGAGAATTTGTGAGGAACAATGGGCTTCCATATTAATAGAACTGAACCAGAGAATGAGAGCTGCTGCGGTGATGCAAGCGCCGACCGGAAATCAGAGAACGGCCGGCGGCATGCCGGGCAATGCTAGAGACCAATCTGTTGCCGCCCAGAGAGTGATAACGATCCGACGCCGAACGATGTTTCGAATCTGGCATATAATGCATTGCAGGGATTTACTTTTCTTGTATTCTGTTTCGATTACATCGCAGAGCAGAGCTCTCCACTTTCAGAAAGAGGCCTCATTTATATCATGTAAAACTCCTTCCCGCCGGCGGGTTCTGAAACAGAGGATTCGTAGACAGATTCAATTCCTTTCTACTAGTCGCCAAAACGAACGGGAATCTCCCCATACGTCTCATTCACGCCGGGTCTAATTGTTTTCCTCGACCGACCCTGAAAAACTGCGACGTCTCTGTTTTCCCGGCGCCGGATCAGAGGAGTGTAGATCTGCGCCGGTTTCTCAACCAGATCTGCGTCAAAAAAAAAGAAAAAAACCACTGTCGACGGCGCGTCCTCCGATCCATTCCCCTCCCCCTTCCAAACAAAAAAACTCCCGCCGTCGGTTCCCATGTGCTTCAATCAATCAACCATAGAAGGGTAAGTAATAAAAAAAGCCAACGAAGCAGAGAAGACAGAGAAATGCCAGCCGCTTCATACAGTTCCCCGTCCCACTCACCACCGACACCACCTGGACCCCAGAGCAGACCAGCACAGCACAGCTACCGCCCACCCACCAGCCTGTGATTGATTCGCACCGAAAAAGCTGTCTGCTTTTCTCTTTCTTCTCCCTCTTTCTTGTTGCTTCCCCTGTCTTTCTCCATCAAATTCAAAACCCCACCTTCACCTCTCTCCCTTCAATTCCCCCTCCATTACTCTATTTCTTCACCCGGAAACCCAACTCAACCAACCCCTTTTCCCAACACACATTCAGTTCCATTCCCCTCTTCCCTTCATTGAAAGAAATGAGCTCCTTCGTCCAAGGGTTCCAGAAGAGCAGATCCGCCGCCCTCCCGGTGTCCCAACCCGGCGGCGGCTGCGAGCAGGGGAGGAGACTGTCCTCCTTCTCCTCATTCTCTTCCGTGCAGCCCATATCGAGCTCGCTGTCGGCGATGAAGCATCGCGCAGGAGACGCCATCAGAAGCTGGGGGGAGTGGGGCGGGATCCTGCCCAAGAAGCCAGCTCAGGATCTGGAGACGAACTATTACGAGGAGGCCTAGTAGTAACTTGATTTGCTTTTGGCGTGGAGCACAAGCAAAGAAGGAACACCTTCCATTGATCTATTTATCAAAAGGGAAAATTCGTTTTGGTATGAATTCAGTTTTTTTTTTTCATTATTATTTCGTTCTGGAAAAATATAGTACTGCTTGTGAATGTTTTTGATCTTTGGATGCGCTATATGTAAGTAAATAATATTCGTGCAAATTACGTTTATTTTGCATTCTATTATGTGATTCATTCATTGCCTTCATACACACGGAATCGTGTGCTTGAGACGGAATCATTGCCTTCAATTATTTTGCAGTATAATTGAGCTTTCGCCATTGTTGATGCTTTTGGCAGTTATATTTGCTCTATACTGTTATGAACATCACTCTCCCAAATACATTCAAATACATCACATTCGATAGATCCAGTGGTGCTGATATGATTGCTTTAGACTTTTGAGAAGAATCAAAAGCTCGACTGCTCTGTAAAAAGATTTTGATACCGAGCTTTGATCTTCTTTAGGGGTGTATAGTTGGCATCTTGTAAACATTCAATGCTATTCTAAAGTCTTAATATCCATCTAGCCTACCTTAACTCGCTAGTTCATATCAATGTCCTTCCTATTATAGTACTCGATGAACACATTTCTCGGTTTATGGAGTTTGAAGCAAGTTTCACAAAGCACATTACACAGGAATATTCCATGGTTTCTTATAACTAGTTGCACAGCAGATTGGATTCCCCCTCAACGAACCCTCGGAAGATAACTACTTTACACCCTAAAGATGGAACAATAGGGTTCCAGAAAGCATTCACCTTTTCATGTTGTTCACAAAATCTGGGCCTTCAGCAGAAGGTGAGGTGGAGCACTGAAGAAGGATCTCTTCATCAGACAGATCTTGCAGTGCAAAGGCAACGTTCAATTTGTAGAAGCTCCTGTCCTGCATTTATCATGAACCAAAATGTCATTGATTTCAGTCAATATGGGAACTTCTACCAAGAGCATCTATAAGACAGAACGTCAGGTATATCAAGAACATGGAGAGATCACGAACTGATCGGTTCTGAGTATCATGTGTTTCCAACGATTCGCGCCTTTCCAAGTCGGATCCTCGTATGATGCTGACACTCGAATTCTTCTCACATTTTCATCTGGGCATCTTCTAGTTCGATCAAAGCATGCTGGACAAAAACAGACCCTGTGGATGTTTCAACCTGCAGCAAAGGTGGAAATGGTCATTGGGCACCATTTCAACAGCATGAACAATTCTGATCAACATGTCTGCCATAAACCAATGAGAAAGACAGATAAGAGATACACAGGACGAATCCAAGCTTCCAACTTTCCATCTACTACTTCCCTCAATGATCAAACCCACACAACATGTATAAATAAACTTGAGATATAGCAATTCCTCGACATCAGAAAAGCACCATTAGTTCTTACATTCCCCTTTTTTCTGGTTTCGGATGACAACACCTAGTTGCTTCATCAGTGCCAATGAACTTTACATAAAAAAAAAAAAAGAGAAGAAAGACCAGATCATTATTGTTCATGCAAAGTTGTGTAGGAGTTTCTTTCTTTCTTTCTTTTGTTACAACTTGGGACGAATCTGATTTGGGAATTTGTAAGCCCGGGGAAGAGGAAAAAGAGAAGAAAGAAGACGAACCTGAAAAACGTGGTGATAGGGATGATCCTCATCACTGTGATTGCTCCCATTGCTCTCTATACCGGCTGCGGGCAGCGGAGAAGGTTCTCCGGCTTCATAATCGGCGGCCGTTGACTTGCCGCATCGGAAGGAGAGGGAAAGATCGCGAGCCTGGGACAAGTTAAATAATGAATCGAGGCGAATAGGGAGGTTAATCAGGCTCGAAATCATCACCGTTTGTGGTGTATCGGCGGCGGGGAGGGAAAGAACGGAGATAGTCGCTCACCGGAGAAGTTTATGGGTACTGAAGTTACAAAAAAGTCGAACATATCGCCGGGAGTTATTTTATCGGTCAATATATCGTAAATATCGTTGAATATCGCGATATTTACTCATATCGCGATTTCTCGGCAATTTCAATTTCTCGTCAATTTATCGCGTTTCGATTTTGGTTTTGAGTACCCGAAACGTTTCGCGTTTCTAACTGCCGTCCCGCGTTTCTGACTTGTTTTAATGGGTTTCGACGTTCCTCTGAAGCAGTTGCCTATGGCCCAATATTTTGGACGGGCCGAAAGGGCCCTTCACACCAGATAACTTTGGATTAGTCACCCAAGGTAAGCAGGCCCAAATTAGGCTTTTCACGCTGACGCCGGATCCGGGCCTGTTCGGAGGGGCCCAACCACCGCCAATCCTGTCCCTAAAGCCGGAAGCTGCAGAAACGGCTGGAAGAAAGAGAAAATACGCGGGAGAAACGCCGAAACGCGGAACGTTTCGTGTACTCAAAACCAAAATCGAAACGCGATAAATTGGCGAGAAATTGAAATTACCGAGATATCACGATACTTTAATATAGCGCGAGATTTTACGATATTTTCTCGATATATTGGTTTCCGGCTATATAATGATACGAAGGTTGAAATAAATTCCCCAGGATAAGCGAAAATACGTCGGCCGGCGATAACTCCGGCGGCATAGAGTTCTCAGTCCGGGACGGTGTACTCTTTCTCTCTCTCTCACTCTCTGGTTCACTTCCATAAGCATAGCAGAGGGCGGTTTGCTGAGATTCACTTCCTTCTTGGATTCATTCATTCTTCCTGCTGCTGCACGCGCTTTCGAGTTCTTCCATGGATTCTTCGGTATTGGTCCGACCCCCGGAAATGGATCGATTCCGACAGAGAAAGAAACGGAGAGAGAGAAGGGGAAGGTAGATGATAATATGACGGGAAAGTAGACGGTGGCTAATTACAAATTGATCCTCTAACTCCTACCTATTACAAAATTAACCATTTATCAATCTTTTACGTTTTATCTTTCGAGTCATCCTTCGACGATATATGAAAATATAGTCCCCATCAGCACAATCGCGGGGTAAAAACATTACATCTCTCTCGCTACAAGACTATCGAGAAATCAAAATCTAAACCCTCTATTCCACCCCCAAAGTTTTCTAATCAAGTGGTTAAAGTATTATGTAGAAGAGTTTCATCAATTAGCTTATCATTAACACACAGAAACTACAGATCAGTCAGCAGAAAAACTTTGTGGGTCACCATTAAAATCCAAAACAGCAACAAGCCATTGCCAGCCAGGCAGCCACAAATCTAATCCCAAAAACAGCAGAGAATCACATTACCAATTGGAGAAGAGCCCAAAATCCCCACCAACCTTATCCAATCCCCTTCCACATCATCATCATCACCAAGTCCCCTGGCTTCCACACTAGCTCCACAAAAATCTCCCATTACTGAAATAGTAAAAAAGGGGTCTCACCCAAATTTCCCCACCACCATTATACCATCAATGGCTGCTTCAATGATGAGCTCCTCTTCAAGTGTTCTTGCCTGCAACTACGCAGCCACTTCTGATCTAGGCAATGCCGCCAGAAACTTGCAGCAGCAGCAGCAATCTTCTTCCTCCACAGCTAAGTTCCCTGTGATCAGGGCCCAACAACAGCAAGCAGGAGAGAATCAAGTTGCTGCTGGAAATGGAAGGAGAGCTGCAATGGGGATTCTTGCAGCTACCTTCTTTGCCACTGCTTCTTCTGCTAACGCTGGAGTCATTGAGGATTACCTCGAGAAGAGCAAAACCAACAAGGTAATACAGTAAATCATACTGATTAGGCAGTCCATTACTCTAAAGAAATTAATTGCACTCTTTGATTTCGGTTCTGGTTACTTTCAATAACTCGATGTCCAAAGAACTAAAAAGCATATGTAGGGGTGTTAATCGGTCTCCGGTTTTTCGGTTACCACCGAAACCGAACCGAAACCGTAGGTTTACTGACCAACCGAAAACCGTCGGTTGCTTGCGGTTGTCGGTTGCGGTTGGCTAACATCGGCCGTTGGGCAAATCGAGCGGTTAGCGGTTAAAACCGAAACCTTGCACTTGTAACCGCAAAAAACCGACCACACTTACCTGTCCTCAATACAGCGTCGTTTGGCTTTGGCCCAGTCCCCTCCTCCCTGACCTAAATGGCGAAATCGGTGAAGGCGTGAAGCATTTCGTTCCCCAGTCTCCTCACCCGCAGCTCGTCCTCCCCATTTCGTTCCCCAGTAATCCCTAGTCCCTACCCTCGCCGCCGCCCGCCAGTCGCCTCGTCAGGTCGTCCCCGTCGAGCTCGTCGGCCGTCGCAGCGGCAGCGCCGTCCTCACTCCTCCCGCTCCCAACCTTCGCGTCGTCTGCCCTGTTCTCCCGCCGAACAGAAGTCGTCCAACAGAAGTCGTCGTCGCCGAACTCCCTCCCAGAACTCCGGCTCCACCTGTTGAATTGAAGGCTTCAAATATTAATTTGCTGCTCACGAAACAGTAATTGAGAGAGAGAGAGAGAGTCAAAACTGTCCTCATATTCCTTCCTTTCTCTTCTTATCTCTCCCTCTCTCTCTGTCTTCTTCTCTCCTTCTGCTGTAGATTTTTTTTATTGAGAAGGGGATAGGGGTTTTGACTATTCTGGCGGTTTCGGCTAACCGCACGCTCAAACCGAGACCGACGGTTTCGGTTGCCGGTTAACCGAGGATGGCGTCGGTGTCGGCTTCGGTTGAGGAAAACAAGTGGGTTTCGGTCTCGGCTAACCGACAGTGCGGTTCGGTTAAACCGAAACCGCACCGACTAACAGCCCTAAGCATATGTAATGTAATGTCGTTTTGGTGAAAATCAGGAGCTAAACGACAAGAAGAGGCTGGCAACAAGTGGAGCGAACTTTGCCAGGGCATTCACAGTGCAGTTTGGGTCCTGCAAGTTCCCTGAGAACTTCACTGGCTGCCAAGACCTTGCCAAGCAGAAGGTTATAAATTCATCATGATAAAATCTTAATTAATTTTCATTAACGCATAATAAATAATAATAAAAAATTATGACTTCTGTATGTTTTTGGTAATTGGTTGCAGAAAGTGCCATTCATTTCTGATGACTTGGATTTGGAGTGCAAAGGGAAAGACAAGTACAAGTGTGGTTCCAATGTTTTCTGGAAATGGTGATCATCACGGACGGCATTATTGGAAAATGTGATTTAAAAAAATAAATCCGACATTATTGCTATTAATGTTCTTAATCCTTTCCCCGTCAACTTAATTCCCTTTTGAAAAATGTGTGTATCTAATCAATTTTTCCCTGTAATTAAGAGTAGTAGAGTACTTATCTTCGATGTTTGTGATATCGTGCTCAATGGCTGTACCGGTTAAATTATCTTATTTTTATCCGTGACCTATTCTCCAAGTCCAAACTAAATATTTGACACCTCCACCGTATTGGACTTTGAGCCCATCAGCCGAATAACTTGAGCCCATCAGCCGATGAAGCCCATGTGGCCATGTCCCGAGTCAACAGCAGCCCAACGTCGTTCCACTAATCAGCCAACACGAGTCGGGCATGCAACCCTACGTGGCAAGTAAGATTAGTTGCATGGGCCAAAGTACGTACGTACGTAGGTTATGTTAGCAAATAGCAAGGTAATAACATGGGCCGAGTTCGGTTAGTAGTCTAGGAGTTGGATAGGGTTCAGTGGCGTAGCCAGGATTTTATGTAAGGTGGATC